AAAGGGCTGGACCAATTCAACTCAGTCTTTGTGTCATGTGGTTAGTAAAAAAAACACACACTTCAAATTCACCTGTTTTATCAGTGGAACAAATCCTGTGGTACTTGACTACATACTTGCAGTCTGAGTTTGGCATATGTGAAGGACCTTATCAGGTTCTAAGAGCAACATGGCAAAGGCAAGTGGAGAGGCTTGCTCTGGAAAACAAGCAGAGTGTGCTGCTTATATACCGCCCTATAGTGCTTTAAGCATATTCTTGGTGGTTTACAGTTTAATTTATGCAGGCTTCACATTGCCCTTACCCATGCACAGTGAGCTGCATTCTCTATTTACTGACCTTGGAAGACTGGAAGGCTGAGTCAACCTTGAGTTGGCTACCTCAGCCCGTTGGGATCGAAGTCAAGCCATGAGTAGAGTCTTGGCTGCAGTACTACAATTTAACCACTGCGGCACAAGGAGCTTTTTACTTGAGCAAGAAACAGTTAAGCCAAAGTATTGCTACAACGCAGTTAATCAGGAATGAAGAACATTTGGACCTACAGTTCCCACAGACTCTTTTTTTTACCATTGGCCATGCTGGCCAGGACTGAAGGGAGTTGCAGGCTAAAACCTCTGAAGGGCTGATGATTTTCTGGGCCTTCTGTAGCTCTGAGATCCAATGAATCACTTTTCCGCAACAGATGTAACCAAAATGACTTCTCTAATTGTAAAGCTGTGGAGAGTATGCAAGCATTGATGCCTAGGAAAAAGTTTACTATAAAAAGATATATTTATTTATTCTATTTATTTTATTTAACTTATATGCCGCCCACTCTACCCAAAGGTCTCTGGGCGGCTTACAACAATTAAAATACAATTAATACCATAATTAATATACAATAATACATGGGACAATATTGTACCATGTACTTCACCAGAGGTTGAGCATGCATTATAATGGAAGTGTCAGATGACGGTGCCAAATAGAATCCCGTTTCAAAGTTCTTTCCACTGTCTGTACCCACTCATTGTCTGCATCTCAGCAGGAGAAGGTTTCTGAAGCCAGGTACTTCTGAAAAAACCGGGCAATCTTCTTTGCTCTAAAGCACCCAACAGCAGGCTGTTCTGCGGGTGTTTGCTTCGACAGTTGTGGCAGCAGGAAGGTGTAACGGTGGTGATAATGAAGGAAGGAATAGTGGGTGGGAGAGAAGAGACGATGCACTTATGCGATGCTTCTGTTATACTGTGACACATCATTTATAGTGATAGACTTGCTGTTCTGTGAACTGTCTTTCCATGTTACATTTGGCTTCACATGAGCAGAGAATTGTGGGGTCTCTCAAAACCACACAGCCTGGGCCTTATTGAGAGACGGCAGCCCAGTAAATATAATTGGGTGGAGAACAATGGTTGTAGCTGGTCTATGTGCCTTTTCAGTGGAATACTGTAAATTGCTTCTTGAGTATATGAATCTTGATGCTTCTCCCTCTGTTCCTGTTAACATTTGAATGGGTAAGTCATTGTAAGCATATCAAGCAAAAACAAAATTAAAAAAAGACAAAAGCATTGTGGCACCGTAAAGACTAACTGCAAGATTTTACAGGTGAGCTTTCATGGACAAGTCTGCTTCCTCAGACATAAGAGTGGGACTACCTGGCAAATATTTACATATGGCCCCAAACCAAAGACTATTTCGGCACCATCAGAAAGCGGTATCATACTTTGTTCTTCCCGTCAGTCTGTGAAGAGGTTGGCAGAGAAGCCTCTGCCTGGCATTAGCTCTGGTCCAGGGCCTCAGTGGTGTGCTGTACCCACTTGACTAGGGGAGATTGTACAAAACAAACCCAAGGTACAGGATCCCACAGCACAAACCAAGGCTGTCCTACAGGAGATGAAAGTGCCCCCAGTGTTAGCCCTAAGGACTGCAACATACTCTCTCCCAAAACCTCAGAATGGGGCACCTCGGAACCCTTTTCTGCCCAAATCTCAGGGATTGCAATTGAGCACACTCTCCAGTTGGGAAAAGGATACGAAGAAGGTTGAGAACTAGAGCATATGAGGGAGGCGTTGGAGAAAGTGAGGAAGCAGCTAGAGAGAGAGGAGGTGGGAAAGAGTCTCCAGACCTAGTAGAAGTGGAGGAGGAGGAAGGGACCTGGGGAGACCCTCATGGGGAGTCGGGGGATGCTCTTCAAACCAAGGAAGTAGAGGAGGATCAACTAGAATCACCTGGGGAATGGGACTATGTGGTGAAAGAAGATCTCTGGATTAGAGAACTGGTTGAGGTTAGGGTCCCTAAAGGAGAGCGACCCAAATACTGTACCAATACAGTACTCTTGTGTTATTAGCCCTGTGCTGTGAAGTGTTTCTGATCTATGTTATGCTCCTTTGATTGTGGGTTTTCAGGGTGCTTCATGCTTATTATTCCAGTAATTCTTGGTACCTCGTAAAGTACAAACAAAAACAAAAGAAACAGAAGTTTTATGACATCTTTGCGACTAATAAGCATATTTCACTGTGCCATATTGTGCATGCAATCCACTTTAGACACAGTCCACTTTAGACACAGCCTGTTTGTTTTAGAATCTATTTCTTTATGCATCTGAGGAAGGGGGTGTAATTTAAGAAAGCTCTTACTGAAAGCAATTTGTTAGTCTTAAACTTGGCACAACACTTCTGTTTTTGTTGTTGTTGAAAGAGATTTACATGACTATCTCTCTGAAAATTTATGAAGTAGGCCACTCTTGTTACACCCATGTTGCAGATCAGGGTGGGGTTTTATGGGGCTGAGACTGAGAGTGGACCTACATATAGCTTGACTAATGCATATTTCCAAGCTAAGGTTTGCTGAGTTAAAAGATTAGAACTGTAATAATGTTGTAGCTGGGGGCACTTGTAGATGTGGTTTATAGGAGAAAGGGGTATTAAATGTAAAAAGGGACACTTGCTGTTGTGTTTGGAAATTCTTTGTCAGTATGTCCCTAACTGTTTTCTGGTACCACCCTATCTTGTAGTTAGCACGGAGCTTTTACTTGACAGTACTGTATATGTGTAGGCATTCTTCAGTCTCAAGAGACTATGGTAACGTGCTCTGAATAGAGGTCTAGTGTGGCTGAGAAGGCCAAGAGGGACAATCCCTTCCACACTGAAGACAAATACAATCTGTCCCCTGTCCAGCTCCCTGATTTTGCTGGTTTCGGGACTGCCTCTTTGCCTTAGCCTGCTGGACAAGGGTCTCTTCAAATTGGGAGAGTCCGTGATGCACTGCCTGCCTCCAGGCTGAATGGTCAGATGTCAAGGTTTCCCATCTGTTGAGGTCCATTCCTAAGGCCTTCAGATCCCGCTCGCAGATATCCTTGTATTGCAGCTGTGGTCTCCCTCTGGGGCGATTTCCCTGCACTAATTCTCCATACAAGAGATCTTTTGGAATCTGACCATCAGCCATTCTCATAACGTGCCCAAGCCAACATAGATGTCGCTGTTTCAGTAATGTATACATGCTAAAAATTCCAGCTAAAAATTGACAGGATAGATAACCTTTCATTAGAAGAGGGAAATCCTCTAGTGCTGAAAGAGGGGTGATTGTCAGAGCAGGAATGTTTCACACCTCTGTTGTTTACAGATTGGCTTCTTTTGTGTGTTTGCCCACACCTTAACTTGATTTGCAAGTATAATTGCTCAATAACAAAAGACTGTCTGAATCACATCTCTGAAACATGCATAGATCTCAGTTTCTAATTACAGCCCATCTGCAAGGTATAAATTGGCCCAGACTCTCTCACATGCAAACTTCCTGGCTTTGAGAGTACTGGCCCTATAGAGTTTAATCTCTTTCTGCCACTATATCTTCCTGTTGGCCCTGTGTCTTTTGCTTTTTAGTGTGTCACCAAATGATAGGGGAGGCTTTTCATTCCATCTTGTGGCCTAGCTCACACATTTGGGCTTCAGACTTCTTCAGGAAAGGATTGTTGCTCTAATGATTTACTTCTGAATCTTCATTTTCTAATTTTATTATTCTTCAGTTTTTGTTGTGCTTTTGTTGTGATTTTGCCACTTGCACATTCCCCATTACACCTGCAAAGGGCTCAGTGCTGCACTCTTGACTCTTTACTTCCTAGCTTGCCCAGATGTTGGCATCCTGCCATATGGCAAAGCACCTTCCTGGATGGTGTCAAGAATTCCTCTAAGTTGTAGTTGTCCAAGGCCTAGTGTTATCCTAGAGGTGCTTTTACCCTCCCTAGCAGGCTATTGGGGAAGGGAAGTAGCTGAAGGTCAAGAGAAGGTAATGGGAACACAAAACTGAACTAGTTTTTCTTTAACACAATCCAGTTTTTCTTAACTATAATCACGGCAGATTTAGTTTTGACTGAGTGCTTCCCTGTACAAAAATAAAAATGAAACTTTCAGAAAGCTGTTTCCTCAAAGAGTTTTCTTCATGCCAGTCTGTGGGAAGTTCCCCATCCTGTTTTTTTTCCCCTATATGGGGAAACAATATGGCAGTATGACACAATACAACCCCAGAAAGATCACTTAGTTTTGCTCAGTGTGTAGATAGGCCCTTAAGTTTCCATGCATTTTGGAAAAGCTCAGCTGTTGGTCTGAAAGGAGGAGACGATAGACAGGATAAATATTGGCAGCTTTGGGAAAGGAAATGGCTGGGCCTTCTACACTAAGTCAGTGAGACAAGAATTTAGGCCATGAATTTAATGATGAGAGTTTTGGGGTATGTAGTTATGAGTCAGTTCCCACTCCATGGACTTCTTTAGTCATCGTCTCCCCTCTCTGACCCCCCAGCAAGTCAGCCCTCCTTGCTTCTTCCGGGCCTCCATAACTTCCAGGAGGTTCCATATGAGCAGCTGTTCCATTATCATTTTTTGCCAGCCTGTTACTTTAGGGAGTGGCCGTGCTGTTGCTCCTGCTAATCAAGACGGTGCAGAGGGGTGTGTGGAAGAGGGTGACTCCCAGATGCTCAGGATGTTTTTGAGGCAGCCCTATTTATAGCTATTTTTGTGCAGGGCTGGAGAGGAGCTTCCTGAAACTTTGAGAGGGCTCCAGCAGCCTATGGAAATGGAACAGCCTAGCAGAGTGAGGAAGGGGTTTGTCTGCCAGGGTGAGTGTTACAAAATGATGGGCATCCCCATGTGAAGTGCAACTAGACAGCAGGAATTGAGCCACACACAGAGGTCTGGGATGCCATAAAATTGCAAAGAAAGAAATATTTCCCTGGCTAGAATATTCCCACTGCCTTTAACGCTCCAGTTCTTTGGTCAAGATTCAAGAATTGTTCAGCCACGGATTATCCTTAGGTGGTTGCCATTGTAAAATCCCCATCTCAGTCTTCGTCTGTGTGTGCCTTTAGTCCTCATGATCCCGTTGGAAACATTGAAAGTATTTTCTGTATTTTCTGAAGTCTCTGAAAGCGAGGGCCTTGTTGTTTCTTACCTCTTAAGAATAGTACAGTACTGTTGTAAGTGCCTCTTGGAGGACAACCTGTTGATTGTCTGGCAGCAAAGGAAGAACTGCAGGCAGGCACACAAGCTTTTGTTGTTAGTTGATTCAGTGGTTCTTAACCTTGGGTTACTCAGGTGTTTTTGGACTGCAACTCCCAGAAGCCTTCATCACCAGCTGTGCTAGCTGGGGTTTCTGGGAGATGCAGTTCAAAAACACCTGAGTAACCCAAGGTTAAGAACCACTGAGTTGATTCATCTAGTTCCTGAGTACTGTAGTTACTGGTGGCAGAAATTTTTCTTAGTATGAGGAACCTTGCAGCATTTGCTTGTTTCACCCTGTTGTGAGTACTGTATTCTGCTGCTTTGATGTTGACCTGGCACTAACTCTGGGGCCACATGAGGTTCAATAGCAAGCCTGTTGATGTCAACATGTGTGCTGACATCACACCTACAGTTCTTTCTGTGCTTATTTTACCTTAAGGATCCCCGCAAGCATCAGGGATAGCCCAGAGCTGTTTTTGCAACTTACATAGACTCAGAAGCAACTTTGGGCCTGGGAAAATACTTGCAACCAGCTATGCAAATGATGTGAAAACACCATGTTGGCCTGTCATCACTGTGCAGGGTGTGAGGTGAACAGATGCCTGCAGACCAGCCCTGTTGGGTTCAAGCTTGCAGTTATTGTGGGTGGGTTGCGTCACTGTCTTATCCAGTTTTCCTGTTTGTGAAATGAAGACAGTGTTAGCTTTAGGTGCCGCTACCTTGAGAGCCTTGCTGATGTTCTCAGTGAATGGTGCTGAACCAAAAGGGACCCCTGCTGTGAGAATTTTTCCACCTTCTGAACAATCAAGAATGGACTACCAATCATCTGAATTCTGCGGCTGAAACTGACGGATTGCACCTAGTGCTTGGGATGATACCAAATCATGGTGGGATGCTGCCTGCCCACTTTGCAACTTCCTCTTAGTCTTATCCTCAGTTCTACAGCCACTTGAGAGCCACCTGACTATGTAAGCTGGGGTGGGAACTGTATAGCTCTCCAGATATTGTTGTGTTGCCGCATCAGTTGATTAGGAATTGCAGTTTAACATCTCAGGGGTCAAATTTGCTAGCATTTCCCTAGCACAACAGCTAGATACTGATGTCCAGAGAGGGTGGATAAAAATCAATGATTTTAAAAATCAAAATGATTTAAATCACAATTTAAATTTTTTATAAATCTAATTTTTGATTCAAATCATCAAGAATTTCTGATTTTTTAAAAATTTAAATTATGATTTAAATTATGATTTAAATCAATTTGATTTAAGTCAGATGCACCCTGTGTCTAAACCTCTCAGTTTTGACTTTTGGATTCTTGCTGGGCTACACTCCCTTTTTCCAGGCTTTTCCTCTTCACTTGCCCTAGTCCAAGTTATTGACAATGGATTTGGAATTAGTCATGCTTTGAGTAGGCGAGTGAAAGCAATGGTATTCAAATTAGCTACAACTTTGTCCTGTTGCTTTCCAATCTGAAGCCTGGATCCATTTTAATCAATAGAGGAAATTTTCCAGAAGTAGGGAAAGGAGAATACCTTGTTGCAGATACCCCCTTCCTTCATTACATGCTGAATAGTGATAAGAATCATGTCTCTAACCCTCGCCACAATGAAATGAGGCCCACCTCTGGCCTTCCCTGTACCTCCCCACCCTGTGAGGATTGCATGTGTTAGCCTTCAGCCATCATTGCCTACCAGAACCTCAAAAAAGGGAGGTTGATGGGAAAATGGGAGTTGTAGACCTGCTCCTTTGGAGGGCGCCAACCTGAGAGAGGAGGGTTGACGAAGACTGTGAGGAGCGGTGGTCCAGTGGAGGCAGTGGTGTTCTTGAGGTTGGACCATGTGGATTTCCTTGGAGCCTATCTTGCTGTTTTTCCCCTGTGTCACAGTATTAAACATTGTGTCCATTAGAATGTGCTGAGAGATGACTGGGCATTGCTCTTAAACAACATTTCCAGATGATGTACAATTGCCCTGTCTCCACCACAGTTTTTTTGGGGGGAGCTGCCCATGCTGCTGAAGCCCTGGAGGACTGCTGTGAGTTTGTGCAGGCACTGTTGGCCTAGATCACTGGTTCTTAACGTTGGTTTACTCAGGAGTTTTGGACTGCAACTCCCAGAAGCCTTCACCACCAGCTGTCCTGACTGGGGTTTCTGGGAGTTGCAGTTCAAAAGCATCCGAGTAACAAAGGTTAAGAATTGTTGGCCTAGATAGATGAAGGCTGTGGCTTGGTGTGGGCAGCTTCTTATGTAAGGGAACAGTGCTTAATTTCCTTGCAGAAGGTTCAACTCCAGAGCCGTCCTTTTCGCTCATGACCAAACGTGAGATAAACATGCAGTTAATAATTATAAACATAATTTTAATAATTAATAATGTTGTCTTGCCTACTATGTAACCATTTCTGTAGTTTATCCACTACTTCCTCCATCCTCTTTCTTGTAAACAAAAAGATGTTGAGCAGGGAAAGATAGAAAAGCTACTCAGTTTCTTTCTTTCTTTTTTAATCCTATGAGCTGCCCAGCTAGAAGCACCCCAGGTGCAAAGTTTCGGATTTGGAGGAATGGAAATCAGTGAGTCATACAAAGCCAAACTCTGCACCAAGTTGAGAAGTATTTTTTGGTTGGTTGGTTGGTTGGTTGGTTTCTTAACCTCAGTAGAATAATATATGGTGCGTTTGGGGCAAATTCGTACTTTAGGTTTGGGAGTGTTGGGATATAAGTTCAAGCTGAGAAGTATTTTTTTGTTGGTTGGTTTCTTAGGCTCAGTAGAATAATATATGGTGCCTTTGGGGCAAATTCGTCCTTTAGGTTTGGGAGTGTTGGGATATAAGTATAAAACAGACTGTGTGGATGAGATGCATTTTTGTATTATACTGGTAACCTTTACCAGAGACCTAGATTGTCTAGGATTCAATGTGAGATGTGTACTAAGCTATAAACCCGAGTCTGGGCTTAACCATGTGTGGGAAGACATTCATAGTAACTTTCTTTTGGTAAAGACAAATGTTGTGGCATCATAACAAATTTATTGCAGTGTAAGCTTGGCTGCTAATCACACACGAGTCACTTGCAGCTTTTCTGATGGATGTTTTGTTTCTTCTGCAGGGTGGCATCAGGCAACACTTCTCCTTTCAGTACAGAAATTGGATCACTGTGTAAACTGAACCTGATTGGACATCAAAGAAGCCTTAATTTTTGAGAGGGCTTACAAATTTTTGACATCTTGTCTGGAGGCAGCATGCTGTGATGGGGCTATAGTGAATGTAACTAGTCTGCCATGCACCCCATGGGGAGTGTAGACACCTCCTTTTCCCGTTCTGCTGTGCAAACCCTATCCCGCAGCCACTGCCGGAACATAAAGCAAAAGATCTCCCAGTGGGAGGGTCGGACCAAAGAGGGTTTCCAGGAAGAAAGGCAGAAAGTTAAGGACTTTGGGATCAACTATGGCCGTGACAGCAGGCAGAAACCAGCGGCACTCGTGCAAAGTAGGAATATAGAAGGACCAGCAAATGTTCCAAATCTTGGCTTGAAATTCCAGGAAAACTCTAATCTCTGTTCTGTGACAGAGGAGGAGGACGAGATACCTGAAGAGGTTTCAGAGAGCCCAGTGATTGAATGTCTCCCCAATGGCATTCTATCAGAAGGAGAGGACTGTGGACCCTGGCGAGGGGAAAGATTGCCTCCAGGCAACTTCTACACCTCTCGCAACCTGTGGAAACAGATAGAAGCCTTTCCATCTGACAGAATTGTTTCTCTTGCTTTGGACTTGAAAAGGAAACGGGAAAGCTGTGGCTCAGCAGAGAAGGAACTGGATGGGGCTCCAGCTAAGAGCTTGGAGAACTTGTACTGTGATGTGGAGGGGCAGGAGGGGCAGCCAGCTATCAATCCGGTACCCAAACCACGAAGGACTTTCCGTTACCATTCTGAAAAGGACCAAGCGGACTCCTCGAATGGAGGCTACACAGAGAGGAAGGCCCCAGAACCTCAGTGTAACGGCAGCTGTCCTGTTGCGACCATCAGTGACTCTGAGCAGAGAGCGCCCAGGAGAGGAATCCGAAGCAGATCCAAGAGGTGTGTTAACTTTTTTTTAAAGCTCTGCTTATTTATTAAATGTAAATCTTGCCTTTCCACCAAAAATAATGCTCAAGGCATCAGTTTTACTTTCCCTATTTTGCTCGTTGAGTATGATCCTGTAGCGGATCTTGTACTTTACAGCGACCTGCTATGTTCCTGTTCTTAATTTGCACAGGTTCATCAATGGTAAGGAGCATTTAGTCATGCCTGTGTTGTTTCATCCCCATAAACCCACTTCTAAGGAAATCTCAAGGGTTCTACAGGAAATGCTCTTTCCCACTTAGAAAGATGTTACGCTTTGTTCAGTCTGTTATTCTGGTTCATGGGACTGGAGGAAAAGACTAAAACCCAAATGCTTGCTCTTTTTTCCCTACCTGCCTTAGGTTGGCATGCTGTGTGGCATTTAAGAGTAAGTTTTCTGCAGTCTGTCTTTCAACTGATGGACCAAATTTCCTATTAGGGGGTTGAATGTTATTTTAATAGCAAATTTGGCCGAAGTAGTAGTAGTAGTTTTGCCAACCTGCTAAGGCAGATTAACACAGCTACTTCTTAAACTGTAAACATTGAAATAGGTCTGAAAAAGTGTAGGCAAAACCTTACTACTGTGCTTGAAAGAGAAGCGTGTTTTGTTTAGCTCTGTGTGTAGAATTCAGATTTTAATATACTGTGATCCAGGATTATCTTGCCTAGTTATGCTGGTGTAATTGATGGTTATCATACTTTGGGTACATCATGAGAAGGCAAGACTTGTTGGAAAAGACAGTAATGCTGGGAAAAGACTAAGGTGTGTGTGCCTGCATGACTCTGCCCCCCTCTGCGCATGGCTCCTCCTCCTCTGTGCATCCACAGCAACCATTTTCAGTCCCTTTGCTTCTGTGTGTGTGTGGGTTGCACGTGTGAGGGGCAGTACCTAGCCTAGCGGGGCTGAAATTAGAAGGAATGTTGGGCAGCAGGGAAAGAGGAACATGAAATATGAGATGCATTAACTCCATAAAGGAAGCCATAACCTTGAGTTTGTAGGCGCTGAGCAAGGCTATTGAGAACGAGATGTTACACTGATGTAACACAAATAGGGGACCTTTTGGAGGCGAATTGCCTCAAGTTTAGAAATCACTGTAGACATTACTTATTGCCTACTGAGTTGTGTGACTCATTGTGCAACCAATGACATCTGCAGTGATTTCTTGACTTGGAGAATTAGTCTGCAGAAGTTGGTCCATTTGCATAGCTACCCAGTAGGATTTTGGTCTCTACGAGTTAAAGTTCTTACGTATCCTGATGTAGAATGTTGATTTTCTTTTAAAGCACAGAGTATACACACTGTCAGCTTTATACATGTGTATGCATGGCTATCTAATTTTACTGACCAAGAGCTTTCGGAGTGGCTTGCTGTGGCTATTGTGGCATGCATCCCGCTTTGGCGAGACTGAAGCTAAGCATGACAGGGAACTCCCTTTTGTCCCATTTTAGAGCTAGGAAAGTGGGCACAGGCCTATCCCCGTACTTGTTTTCTGTTCTGAAGGGATTTTAAATACCTTAGACGTTTACTGATGTCAGAGAAAAAAGCCCACGTTTCACGATGGGGGCAGGGCAGCTGGAGAGGCAGACACTCCTCGGCTACTCCCAAGGGAGATCAACGTTGTTAAACCCTGTTATCTATCGGCTTTGATTAGGTGAGGACCTAAAGAAGATGCCCTGCGGGGTGGAAGGGTAGTTCCCTTTATTGTGATTTGGAAACCTCAGTTAACTGGAGGCAAACACAGAACTAAAGTGATATGAATGCTTTACACTGTGGTGCCAATAAAAGGGGAAAGTGAAAGAAACTCCAAAAATATTTGGAAACGTTTATCTGTGACTGGTTTTAATACAAAGCATATAAGCCACACTGGTGTAGCTAATTCTGGGCAAATGCGTTTAAGGGCATCTTAATCTATGCTAGCTAGACTATGGCCTTTGCCATTTGCATGTGTGAATGAAAGAAGCTGGGGTTCTCATCTCTTTCCTCTGTATGAAACCCTTCCCCAGCTGTGCTCCCCAGATGTATCAGATGAACTGCTGGATAGGTCAGTGGTTTAGGTATCTGACTGTAGAGCCAGAGGTTGAGAGCTTGATTCCCCACGATGCCTCCCTGACAGGGGCTAGATTCAGTGATCCATAGGCTCCCTTCCAGCTCTGCAGTTCTAAGATTACAATTATTACTATTACTTCAACCTTCCTATCCAGCAAATGGGTATTCCTTCATTGTGCAGGGGGTTGGACTCAATAGCCTTATAGTTCTCTTTCAACTTTATTATTCTATGATTCTATATTTGTTTAGGAGATGTCAGTCTGGAGAAAGCCAGTGGAACATCTAAAAAGCTTTTTTTTTTCATACAGCAAGGGGGAAATAGACATTTCAGAGAATCCAAGTAAAAATGATCCTTCAGTGCATTGTCAGTATACATATATTTTGGAACGTTTTCTAAAATGTCAACAAAACAAAAAACCCTCCACCCTAACGCTATGCTCAAAATCTTCTGAAAAGGAAATAATTTTTTTTAGTTAGCTCTATGTAGTGCAAAAATGTTTAAACAAAAGATGGGAGATATCTAGGCTGTGCCGCACTCTTGCCTTTGAAGCTTGTGAAATGAGACAACTCTGTGCTATGTTTATAGAAAGTCCTTTGAATTTGAGGACATCCAAGGGTACCGAAACCGGCTAGCAGCGATAGAGTATCAAAAACTCCATGAAGAACTGAATGGCACCACAAATACCCGTCTCTATTGCACACAGTCAGAGGACAACCTCTATGAGGACATTATCGGTATGTTTTTGAGTTTATCTGAAGGAATCAAATGACAGTAATTTGGAGGAAGGTTGTATGGCACTTTTTGGCTCCAGACCAGAATTAAATTTGAGGTAATTTCTGCTGACCTGTGCTGGGGATGAAATGCTCTTTTGGAAGGCAGTGATGTGAGTAAAAGGATATGGTTTGGGTTTTCCCCCCCATGTATGTCAATCCTTCGCTACTTATGTCCCCATTTGCATGTCAAGATTCCTGGGTTATTGTGAACTACAGTAGCTGCTTGTTAGTACAAAGTTAATTGTTCAGTCTTGGTTCAGGAGCATGTACAATTCAGCTGTAATCCAAAAGTCCCACTTCCGGATCTGGAGAAGCCTTGTAGCACAGCAGTTAAACTTCAGAACTGCTGTGAAGACTGCTCATAATCTGAGTTTGATCCTTGACTCAGGTAGCTGGCTCAAGGTGCTTTCCATCCTTCCAAGGTCAACAAACTGAGTACCCAGCCTGTGGGTGGCTGGGAGCAATGTGTAGCTTGCATAATTAAACTCTAAACTGCCCAGAGAGAGTTTTAAGCACTATGGCATGGTATATAACTAACGCACTTTGCTTTGCTTTGTTTACTTCTGTGAACAGCAGAAGCAGAGTGGGAATGAGCAGGATGTGTGTACTAATGTGGATGCCGTTCACAATAAGCCAGTATTACCTCGGAATCATGGCTTACTGTTATGCATGAACATAATCTTTCTGTCTCTACCAGTAACTGATGCGAGTCACAGGACCAATTGTTGGTGTCACTTATTCACTCATATTCAAGAGACGTATTTTTTATAGATCCTGCTAAGGAGAATCTGTATGAAGATATAAAAGTGAAGCCTCTTTGGAGAATCCCATCCACTTGGAAGTTGCCTCCTGCCCGGAACACCATCAAACCACCCAAGGTGAGTATACATTTAACAATGTCTCTGCCCACTATCCCTGCCTAAGTGTGGATCTTGAGCCTGTGCTTCACAGGATCGGGCTTTACCATGCTGAGAGAATAGTGTATCATGGAATTGCTTCAGACAACATCTCTCTGTCTTTCACTGACCTTCAGCTAAATGTGTGAACTGCTAACATTGAAAAGCACTGTATTTTTGAAGGACGTATTAGGCTGCAACAGTTTCTCTGCCCATGCACTAGATACTACTTTGTGCAGCCTGCAGTTAAATCCGTAGCTGTAATCTGTAATGCTGGTTTTATGGATTGGTAAACCGTAAAGAACTGCAAGAGAGGAACTGTGTCATTACATAGAAGAAATGCAATGGTGGCTTGTTAGGGCTTGACAAAACAGACTTGTTGGGTGGTCCCCTTGAGTGTGCCTGTGGAGACATCCTGGTCTACATGGGATTATTTGTACCTAATTAGGAATGCCATTCATTCTGAAGTGAAGGAAACAACTTCCTATCTGTACATGAAGTTAATTCAGTGGTAGACCAAATGCTTTGCATAGAAAGGATTCCAGGTCCCATTCCTGAAAATTCCAGTAAATTAGGAAAGACCTTGAAGAATTACTGTCCGTCACTATGGTAGATGATGCTATGGCAGTTGAAACAAGGGGCTGGCTCATTATAAGGCAGCTTCCTGTATTCAGGTTGCGGTGCATGAGTGCCAGACATACCTGGGTCCTACTGCTTGTACCCACGCTGCCTACTGCAATTGATTCAGAATCTCTGTGACCTCCATTTGCTTTTTGTAGACTTCACATTTTATTCCTATGTGTTTCGTCAAGCCCTAACAAGTCTGTTCTTTAAAAACAAAAGCAACTTCTAGTGTATTTTTGTACATTTCGCTATTCTCCCTATTGGAGGGGGAGGAGCAATCTTTGTTTGTTTAGTTTTTTTGTTGCTGGCTTTCCCCTCTTCACCCTGCCCTCTGCCACCATTGCATTTCTTCTTATAGGATTGTGGTCTTCATGCTTTGTTGTGGCTATGGGGTCTTTTATGGTGTTTGCATTATCATTTCCAGAAGGAGGGGTCCCTTTACGTAGACAGAAAACTCTACCCCATCTATTTCTGCTTCCCTTAAAAGTTTCCACAATTCAGATCTGAGCACAACGAATGACGGCCAAACTAGACATAATGATAAACACATCAGTAGAAGATCTGTCTCTCTTATTCCAAATGATCAACAGTGAAAGGATTAAGAACTCAGCACAGGCTGGAACTGTGGCATGCTGGTAGGGGTTAGGTTATTTTTGGCCCCTTCTGACTATAGTGGCAGCAAAACTCACCCCCTTCCATGCAGCTATTAATTGTAAGAGAGAAGCTCCCATTACAGCTCACTGTAGTCTTGAATAGAACTACAGTGCCACCACAGTGGCAATTAAAAAAGAAAAGGGTGGACCCAGCATCCAACGATATGTATATTTTGGTCCTGAGAAATACTTTTATATTTATTTATTTATTTTTACAATATTTTTAGACCCAGCATCCAACGATATGTATAGTTTGGTCCTGAGAAATACTTTTATATTTAACAAAGAGGAGATCCTTGAGGAGACTTCCCTGCTTGTGCTACTCCCCCTAACCCAGGGATTATTTCCATCTTTTCTGTCTCGTATTCACTACGATAAAAAACAGGCACTCCATTGGCAAAATTCTTTGTTTTGAACAGTATGCGTCCTCAAGCTTTCTTGGTAAAGCCTTTTTTCACTCTCAGTTTCTCCAATTTTATTTTCTTCAGCTCCCTCCTAAGCCACACTTCCTTCATCGCAAAACATTGGAACTGAAGACCACACGGATTTGCCTGCGTGGGAAGCTGGCAAAGGACACAACTCTACCCGTTACGTTGACTGAATGGAAGTTCTTCAAAGCAGGCGAGGCTGGAAGCAGGATAAGAAAGAATCTTCCCCGGGTGAGGAACAGTGAGTCAGCTGAATAATATTTCATTGTGGGGCAAATGCAGTTCCCCCCACCCTTCATCCCCTACTGTAGGCCCCTGTTGTCATTGTGGCTGTTACACTGCTAATGGAAAAGATCACAACTTCTGTTTGTTTGCCCACTCCAGAACAGAGCTTGGAAAACTACCTTTTTGAACTGCAAAAGAGAGAATTCCTCAGCCACCGTGGCCACTACCAAGCTGGTTGGCGAATTCTAGAAATTGTGCTCTAAAAAAACAATGCCGGTTTCATAATCTTTTTCTTTTTATTCATCACATTTGTATTTCACTCCTCCACTAAAGGTCACCATGTCTCACTTGCAACCCACAAACGTATTACCTTCACTCTGCTGTGTATTTTTCCCTTGTGGATTAGCCCAGCTGTCTTTGCTTTTCATTGTAAGTAGGAAGGTTACATTGGACTGATGTCACTGGCCCAAGTGAGGGGAATTGAATTGAATCTGCATGAATCAAGTCTAGCACTTAGCTGGACTAAGTGGAGTTTCCAAATTCGGCTACACATGGACTTATTTAATTTCCTTCTTTCCTCCCTGCAGTGCACTTCTGCCCTGAAATATTTTTGGAGGGGTGTGGCATATGCTTTGTGCTGGGACTGGCCTGTAAGATTACTTGCAGTATTAATTCCACAGCACACATTAATTGTAAATGAAGTACTAAGTATCTAACCAGTGAAGAGAGTCAAGAAATTAAATATCTTTTTATTTTATTTGAAGTTCACTAGGAATTCTAGCAGGGAAGATAATTTTAAAAGCATTAGCTTGAGAGGGTATCTGAAGCTGAGTTCAGCTGTGATCACTTTGTTGATCTGTCTGTTGCTCCCTTGTTCTGTGTAGGCAGCCATTCAGGTTCATTAACAACCAGACACAAGCAGTAATGAGCAGTATGCAGCTAATGCACAATTAATGCTCTTTTACACTGAGAGTTACTTGTTTTCCTTTGTTTCAACAATAGGCCATATTGAAGCTGTTTGCAAAAGTCTCAAAATGACCTCAAGTTCATTTGGTTTTCCTTGGTGCTCCTTATTCTGGATTTAACGTTTAACCTCCAAATTCATTTTGTGGCTTAAAACTGCTGAGTAGTTTGTTAAGAATGAGACTGTTTCATAAAACTTCAATACATTTTCCTGATGTCCTTTTTGCCACTCCCTTCCGTGGGTGAGTGAGTAACGGAGATGCATGTGTTGTGCAGTCAGAGAACCAAGAAATGACTGATTTTTATGCTGCCTACACACTGCAGGAATTAGACTCTTGTCCAATCAATGTCTTTTTGATCAGTTTCCATAGACTTGCACTAATTTTGAACAGCATGTAAACAGATGCATGTGTATGCATATACACACAGATACACACATAGAGTTATCTTGCAGCATTTCTTTTATTGAAGTACTGATCAGTTCTTTTAGCAACCTCTTAGTAAGGAAACATTGTGAAGAGGCCATGACTCAGAAACTGTTGCCTAACCAGGGATTTAAGAATAGGAGCCCCAAAATTTGGCCTCCCACCTACTTGAGACCAAAGGACAGATCCCAGCTGTACAGCCTAGTGGGAATCTATTTCTGCTATGACTGAGAGAATTAGGGGTGGAGGAATACTGTAACATATATTCCAAGCCAGACTTGCTGCATTTCTAAGGGTTACACATTAGTGTATCTGGTGCATGCAAAGATTATTATAAATACTGAGCCAAGGGGGAATGGTGAAATGTCCCATGTAAACATCCTTCTTCATATATATTGAGTCTGCTTAAAGATTCTCTGACTGCCCCCCAAAATATGGGAGTAATTTACTTGGAGAGGAAATGCATGTTATTCTGTCACCCCGAACTTGTCGGACTTGGCCACAGTTGCTGGAGGGATGCCCACATGAGCCAGGAAAGCATCTCAGTCAACCCCAGCAGAAAAGTATTTGCTGCCTTCTCCAGCATTCTGACACTATGGCTTCAGCTTTTATCTCTGCTCCTGGGTTCATGAAGTCTCCAGAAATGTAGCACGAGAGTTTGCTCTTAATAAAGTGTGGAACAGAGACGGGTGTTTCCAAGTACACAGTGCATGCATGCCAAGAAACACCAGTGCACTGTAGACTATCATAGCTCTTTGGTGTATGTGTACTTCCCCTGTGATTTTAGGATTGGTGATTAGACAAGTCGCTTTTGTAGACTAGAACTTCCAAACTTCCCCAGCTAACATATCCATTGTACATGCCTGGTGGAATAATATTGGACTTTTAGTCCCCCAAAAATAACTTTTCCAAGCTCTTCTGCACCCTCCCCTCTTCATCCTTTGCATGTTTTATCTCAGTAAACAGTAATGTAGCTAAGTGACCATAGAAATTGTCAGGAGGGTCTTCGACCAGCAGAATTAAGATCAATGCTGGGAAAACTCTGGAGGAGCGGAAGAGAGTGAGAAGGAAGCTCAAGGAGGAAACACAGTGCTTCCTGTGTAAGGGCAGCTGTGCCCTAAGGTCATGCTTCACTCCGCGTGTGCTGCCTGGGCCCAGGATGATAGACTGGATCTCCACAGCCGCTTATTTCAATGTCCGCCCAACTCTGTTTGGGATGCTCCGGTCACAGAAAGGGTTGGGACTGTGAACACAATGATCTGGTGCTTGTCTCTTCCTTTCCCCTTCTTTTTTGCATATATATGTATATATGGCGATGAGAACAGTTGGGCCCCACCCTACTGCATTTGCTTGGAATGTTGGATGCATTCTTAAAGCTGGGCAAGAGAGAACTTGGCCTGCATGCCACGTTTAAAATAGTAAAGCGGTTCAGCCAGAGAGGAGAGCACCAGCAAGTTGTGACTTGATGTGCTGCTGAGGCAGAGAGAGTCTTGCTTGCAAGTATCTTGAGATACCAAACACCCTGTGTAACACTTGATACGTTGGGTTGTTTGTTTGTTTGTTTGTTTACTTATGCATCTGTCTTTACCACCCCATTCATGTGAACACTCTGGGCAGTTCACACCATGTAGTAAAATCATATAATTATAAACCACATGCAATAAAAATACCACAAAAACACTGTTGCTATAGCTAAACCAATAAACCTACCTTTAAATAAAATTATACAAATTAAAGCACATTTAAACATCTGAAGGCAGCTTTATATATATCTGTCTTGATTAGCTTCTTAAAAACTGAGAGGGATGGCACCTAGTGCACTTCTGTGTCAGGGGTGGGCAGTTAATTTCTATAAGGGGGGGACACATGAAAAATCTGAACTGTGTTCAGGGGCCGAACCAACTTTACTTAAAAATAAAACGAAACAGTGATGTTATGATTGTTTTTATTTTAAACTTGTTAATCTTCACAAATACTAAAGAGTTTTTTTTTTGCGGTGTGTTCAAGATAAGCAACTGATCAACTTTAGACAAAAAGCTATAAATGGTTTTGATGTTCAAAACTGTCCATGGGCCGGACAGAAGCGGCTTGTGGGCCGTATGTGGCCCTCAGGCCACACTTTGCCCAGGTCTGCTCTATGTGAAGCTTATTCCAGAGGAAAGGAGCCGTGACCGAGAAAGCTGGGTTCCTGGTGCTAGTTCTTTGGGTCTCCTTGGGTGTTGCAGTTTTTAGCATCAAGGATTGTGGGGAGCAGGTGGGACAAGTCGCTGTTTTGTGGGAGAGATGTTCCAACAAATATTGAGGTCCTAAACTGTTAAGGGCTTGACCAGCACCTTGAACTGGGCACAGAAAATAACAGGGAGCCAATGAAGATGTGCCACGGCTGGGGTTGTGTGTCCATATCTGCTGTTACCTGTAATCAGTTTGGGAGCTGCATTTTGAACCTGCTGAAGATTTTGTACTGGCTTCAAGGGCAGCCATATGTGGAAAATGTTACCGTAATCTATTTTAGGGATTACCAGTGCATGAACTGCTGTTATTAGGCATTTTTTATCCAAGTAGAGGTGCAGTTGGGCAATTAACCAACTGTTCATTAAAGGTACTGTTGGCCACAGCAGATATTTGTGACTCCATAGAGGGAGCTGGGTCCAAGAGTACCCCAAGCTGCAAAGTCCATTCTTCAGAAAGAGTGTAATCACCTTGAGGCTAGGCAAATGCCCCTCAAACTAGTCCGACTGTCCTTGCAACACTAGGACTGCTGTCTTACCTGGATTCAGTTTCAGTTTATTGGCCCTCATCCAGTCCATTATTGATGCCAGACAGCGCTCAGGCACCTTGTACAGCATCATCTGTAGATGAAGAAAAGGGGAGACAGAGCTGTGTGTCATGGCAACAAACACCAGATCTCCACATGACCTCTCCCAGCAACTTCATATGGATATTAAAAAACCATTGGGGAAATGGCTGATCCCTTCGGGGCCCCATAACGGAGGTCCCAAGGGGTAGACATTGCCTCCTCAAGCTGTACCATCTGGTATCAGCCCTTGAGGAAGGACTCGAACCACTAGGGGGAAAAGGCCACAAATCCTAAACCCAGTAGCTGTGATTGTCAATATCAAAGACCACAGAAAGATCCAGGAGGATCACCAGGGTCACACTCCCCCTGTCTACCTCCCTCAGAAAACTGCCTTACAGGGGTTCATACTTCTGCACTTCTTATCATTATTATCTATTTATTAATAGCAATTATATCCTACCTTTCCTACTTATTAGTTCAGTTGTATCCCACCCTTCCTCCCATGAGCTCAAAGTGACATTACCCCACTTCTGCACACTCTGTTTTCTCAACAACCCTATGGGTTAGGTCAGCCTGAGAGTGTAACAGGCCCAAGGTCACCCAGTGAGTTTCACATCTGAGCAGGATTTGAACCCAGGTCCTCCAAGTTCTAGTCTAACACTAACCACTGCACACATGCTGGCCCCATTTTGCACTGGGTTTCATTCTCACTGGAATGTGAATGGAGTACTGAAGACAAAGATATAGGAGGCTGAAAGTCAAAATGTACTGCAGTTTAGCTATTAAGGACCCGAGGTGGCTAACAGCATTATTGCGATTCCAAATGGGATGATGATAAAGTTGTATATTGAAAAGTGCAGTAGCCAATATCAGCAGAACATTTTTTTTAAAAAAAGTCAAAAGAAGATTTTCATGTGAGTGAACAGATTCTAGAATGGTAATAGGCTTTGTGTCAGTCAAGGTTGCTGAGACTCCTGGGCCCCTAAATCTGTACAGCATTGCTTACGGTTATTCATATGGCCATGTTATGAAATTGGCTTTGTCCAGGAAGACTGCCAATACCTCTGCAAGCATGGAGTTGAATAGGAGAAAGACTGTGGATGCAATAAACACATCATCCTACTGCATACATTGGACAGTTGTCTGTCATTAGTTTTTCTAGCAGTCTGAAGATTTTGTTTCTCTGTGTACTTTGGTACTGAAATCAGGTCCATTACAGGAGTTCTGGTGCCATATAGCTTCAGAGCAGCTGCAAACACCATTTGTTCTTCTCCTTTTAAATTATGGTTTGTCTTGTTGCTACCAAAATGTAAGCCACATTATTCAGTATGCTTTCTAGATTGATTAGTGCATCTTTAGCATGGGCTTGGTAACTGTTCTGTCGAATTCCCTACCATAAATCTCATGAGACAGGTCTGTGAATGAAAGACCTTCTGGTCATTACTTGAGAACTCGTAAGCCATGTGGCCCTTCTTAATTTCCACTTGGGACTTAATTATTTATTTACTTGGGTTTCAGCTTGTGTTGAAGATACAGGAAATATTTGACTCCAAACGAGGGAAGAAGCGGGTGAAGTTGCTGACACAGACAGGAAAAGAAGTTTCTTCAGCCAGAGGTATAGATGCTGAGCTGTGTGCACTTTTCCTAGTGTAATACCTAATGGTACTAGGAGGAAACTAGTCATAGACAAGTCCTCCGTGTGCTTCATTTCTTAATGTATTAATTGCAAACTACATTTTCCTGTTGTCTCCTTTCCTATATGAGTTTGGAATTTCCACAGGCCCATATTCAGCATGGCTCTCTGGGACTTGGGGAGTTATTATAATAATAATTTTAAAAAAACTTGCTCAAGCTCTGTGCTTGCAATGCATCTTCATGTAATCTGCATTTTGCAATCAAAGGTTAATCGTTTGCCTACCAGGTTGATGCATCCTTTCTCAGTTTTTTGCCTTGCTCAACATGTAAGTGCCTCCCTAAAGGATATAATGAGCTTTACTTGCTCTATTTAACACTTGGTGTCTGTGTTGTAAGACTTACCTTTTCTGGACAGTGCAGCTGTGACCAGGTTTCGATGCATAATAGCCCATGATGGATCATCAGCTGCCTTCCAGCATTTCCTATTCCCATCCTGCTGGCAAATTCTGATGGAAACTTCCTCTCGTTTCAGGTGAAACTAATGGATATGAGAGTGAACCAGAGAATCTGCCAAAAAGTGAGTGAATGAGTCACCAAAGCTGAGCCAGCTCATGGGGCATAATTACAATCGCTGGAGCACTTGTTGGAATGCTTGCTGGGAGTGGCCGGGCTATATAAAGCCTCTGCCATGGTGGCCAGTGGCAGGACATAGTGGGGAGCAGGGAGCCCTTTGGGTCATAGGTATATGGGCTGTTTGCTTCTGGAAAGTAGATTAACAGTGTGTGCTCAGAAGCTGCTTGTGAGACTTATGGTGGACATTTCTTCCAGCACCTGGGATAGTGCTTTCTTGGCACCTACCTGTACTAACATGATAGCATGAAGACTGCATTCCTGGGATTCCAATGGAAATAATAAAGATATTTCCAGAAAAGAAGCTCAGTAATGTAGGTCAGGCTTATCTACAATACAGCTGTCACCCCTTATTCATCTTTTTCTGCATTGGGTCTCTGCAGGTGACTGTTGGTTATACCCTAAAGCAGTGGTTCCCAAACTTGGATTCCCAGATGTTCTTGAATTAAACTCCAGGAAGCCTTCACCTTAGCTGTGCTGTCCAGGATATTTCTGGGAGTTGTAGTCCAAGAACATCTAGGGACCCAAGGTTGAGAATCACTGCCCTAGAGTATTCCCAGGTTGTGCAATAAGAAGGCCCAAACAATACTGCTACCTCTTATAAAACTAATAATGGATGGTAAAGGTAAAGGTTCCCCTTGACATCTAATCCAGTTGTGTCCAACTCTAGGCCACGGTGCTCATCCCCGTCTCCAAGCTGTACAGCCAAGCGTTTGTCCGTAGACCGTTTCTGTGGTCACGTGGCCATTGTTACTAGGCACAGAACGCCTTTACCTTTCCACCATCGTGGTGCCTATTTATCTACTCACATTTACATGCTTTGAAACTGCTAGGTTGGCAGGAAATATTGGATAGTCTTCCCACCATTTATCTACTTGCATTTACATGCTTTGAAACTGCTAGGTTGGCAGGAAATATTGGATAGTAGTGAGGGATAAATATTGGCATATCCCAGCACCCTCTCTAGAAATGTTGGACTTCATGGGTATACAAGAATGGAAATCACTGCAGAAAGGTCAATGCACAAAGAGCTCCTTCAGGGTGGGAAGTTTTTCAGAGTAGGAACTCTTCTTAGGACTCATCCATGCATTGATGATGCCTCTGGTTGTTCTGATATATTTTTTGGTTGTACATTTGAATATATCAGTCTGGTATTGGAATCCTTCCTTCCTTCCTTCCTTCCCTCCCTCCCTCCCTCCCAGAGTGCAGGGGTGGAGACTGACCAGAAAAAAACCCACAAGGAAATATAATCAGTTGATACCCACACACAGTGTGCGGAACAGTGCAGAATAACATTTTCTAGGGGCCAGACATATACTGTAGGAGGAGGGTATTTGTTGCTGGATATATTGGGGAAGTTCTGAGTTGTCCACAAATGTGGAATTACTCCCTGATACAGTATTTTATTTCCAACACAGATTGCCCACCCCTGTCTTCTCTGCCAGTTGATACCCACACACAGTGTGCGGAACAGTGCAGAATAACATTTTCTAGGGGCCAGACAAGCTGGCCCTGCACAGGAGCATAGCAGAAGAAAAATACATCACGGGTATTAGTAGTGTAGAAAACCCTGGAAAGAAAGAGAGTTTTTTTGGTCCTGCTTTGACTCTTGGGTGCAAGAAAAGTTGAATAAATGCTCAGGGTGGACAGGCTTCTGGAAGGAAGATGTATAGTGTCTGTTAGATCTGAAGGGATGTGGTTCAAATAAAAGAGCAGCACCCGCTGTGAAAATTGTAGTCTCTGTGTGTTTTTGCCACGCCATGTCTGAGAAAGAGGTATGCAGTTTCTGACACAGTGTGCTTGTACGTGATGACACAAGCAGCCAGTGTTTTCAACCGGACCATACAACTGTGGGCCTTTGAGTGTACAGCCACAGCATGGCAGAATCTGCAGTCTCTAAATTGGGCCAAATGATCTCAGAGGAAAGCAAACCCAACAATGGTGACTACAAAAACAAGAGAGCCCTCGCGTTCTTCTCTGTGCAGCTTGGCAGTCGCAGCTGGGATTTGCAAAGTCCACCAGTCAAGAAAGCAAGCACCTGCATTGTCAGACTGCAGAAAAGATAAGAAGGAACGCATTTGGATGCAGTATATTGGAAGAGGGGATAGCAGAGGTTTTGTAGTTGTGGGCCAAGGGATAAGTTCCCTAGAATGGTTGTTTCATTTCCAAAGGTTCAGGGGAGCCAGAATAAACATCTATCCAGGAAAGAAAGAATTACACTTAGGAGGTTTTGCCATTGAAGAGATTGGATTAGATGGCAGTCTCTAAATTGGGCCAAATGATCTCCTCCTTAAGCAAACCCAACAATGGTGACTACAAAAACAAGAGAGCCCTCGCGTTCTTCTCTGTGCAGCTTGGCAGTCGCAGCTGGGATTTGCAAAGTCCACCAGTCAAGAAAGCAAGCACCTGCATTGTCAGACTGCAGAAAAGATAAGAAGGAACGCATTTGGATGCAGTATATTGGAAGAGGGGATAGCAGAGGTTTTGTAGTTGTGGGCCAAGGGATAAGTTCCCTAGAATGGTTGTTTCATTTCCAAAGGTTCAGGGGAGCCAGAATAAACATCTATCCAGGAAAGAAAGAATTACACTTAGGAGGTTTTGCCATTGAAGAGATTGGATTAGATGACCTTTGAGGTACTTTCTAGCTCCATGATTCTATAAAATGGTGGGCAGCAATGCACATTAAGAGGCTATTTTCTCTTCTGGTCAAATGACCCTTTCGAGAACTCTTTTTGCTGAAGCTGTGGCCCAGTGGACCTTTGAGGTACTTTCTAACTCCATGATTCTATAAAATGGTGAGCAGCAATGCACATTAACAGGCTATTTTCCTGGTCAAATGACCCTTTTGATAACTCTTTTTGCTGAAGCTGTGGCCCAGTGGTTCTGCGCTTATAGCCTCCTGCAAGATTGTGAAACACCCTTTGCTGGGAAAAAGGAGTAATGGAGTCAAATTATACATAATGGTTGGCTCTTTATCCAAAGCTTGCATGTAAACACTGGAGGAAGAACAACGAGAGGAGCAGGCTTCAAACTGGCTCTGCATCATGACTCAACTGCCCTAGTTGGCACCAGTGACTCGACACACCAACATTTCCTGCTTTCCATGCCTGGAAGCTGTCAGAGCTAAAGTCTGTCTGTAGCTTAGTGCAGCAAGACATTGTTAGCATCCACCACAGTAAAGCCTGTTGCAATGTTTTCCTTACTTCTTTCCCACAAACACTTTTGTGCAGACAATCAGATAAACTGGATATTGTCGATGGGAGGAGAGAGTATGAAACCTGGTTTAAGAGATAATAGTTATACTACTTCCTTTGCCATCCATTAAGTATGTGTTGTTGGAGTTTTCTCAAGTCTGGAGCTGCTCCTTGCTGGAATGGGAGGCTTTGTGATAGATCACTGGGGTGAAGGGGAGGATACCAGCTCTGTTCTGCTATTAGGCTCTGCTGCTTGCTGGCTTAGATATGTTTCGTCTTGGATTGGGTAGTATAGCCAGGTTAGCTGCGAAATTGTCCCTCTTTGGCTACTGTTTGGCAAAAAGGCCATGAGTTTTTGGAGGGAGGAGGTTTGCCCTGTCTTCAGCGCTCCCACTGACCTGCTTCGTAACCTTGGGTAGATCTATTGGTTGAATGGAAGCTATGCTGCCTGCCTTGGTAAAGCAGTGAAAGAGCGGTTTCTCTCCTCCAGGTCGCCACAAGCGCCTCCTGCAAGTACAGGCACAGTCCAGGAGGAATCCACACTACCAAACACTGGAGCGGGACCTCATTGAATTCCAGGAGCAGCAGCTCTTTGAGCTCTTTGTAGTGGTATCCCTACAGAAGAAGTCATCAGAGGGCGCCTACACCCCACAAATTATACAGCAGTTTCCTAACAAGGTAGGTTTTATAGCACTGTTGCTATCTAGCCTAACCCTCCAGTCAGTCATGCATGCATTTGGTACAAGGTAGGTTGAACTGGTGGACAGGATCTTGTATTTTAATAACATTTAACAGTGTATCACAACAACAACAAATGTTTGGCGAATCAAAGGATGCATGAGTATTGTTACTGCTTGTCTGTTACTAGTATCCAGGAATCATTTTTCTAATTTCTTGACTGCCACAGGAACAAAGTAGCTGAAACTGTTATTGCCACACTTGAAATATTTGGGGGATGAGGAGATGTTTTCATGGATTTGGCAGGAGACCAACATGTAAAATAAATAACTCAGCATGCAATTCTTACTTTTTAAAAAGAGAAGTGCTAATTAGCTCTACACAGACTTTCATTTAGGACCATCCAATGGCGTAGAATATTATTCACTGTGCTTGATGTTAGCAAAAAAACCCCTGAAAAGCAGTGACGCAGAATATTTATAATCAGTTTCTTTTCCATTTTTCTTCTCTGCAGCAATATATTTATATGTTGAATGAATAAAAGCACAAGCATGCGATCTGTTTTTGGGTTTTTTAGTTGATGTTCTGTGTGTGTAAATAATAATAAATCAACTTTTACAAGTTCTATGATGAGGCTGTGGTATGGCGTGAGTAGCGAAGTGCTGATTTAGCTGATGAGGCTTAGTCTTCTCTGCAGAACATGTTGTATGAATCTAGCGCAGTTTGCCAGAAGGTCTGGAAAGAACCTTGGCTTGTTTTGAGAAAACATGTGTGAGATTCCAGTGCTGCATGGTTGGAGGTGGGTGCGGGTGTGGAAGGAAGTGCAGCAGAGTTAACTGTAATCCCAGAGCTACACTGACCTCATCCAGCCTACTGTGGATAACAAAAACAGGGTGGGGAATGTGTTGGCCTACATTGCTCGGAAGACACAATGAGCGGCGGCCCACCACCTCATGTGGCTGTTGGGTTCTTTGCAGCACTGCAGACAAAGTGGCTGGCCTTTTGCCAATCTGTTTGCCTTCTCTCTGCCTGGTAGACATTTTCCAGGAGGCTAACCAGATTCCCACAGGAGGGTCATTTGGGCTGGCATCTAGTGGGAAACATTGCCCTCGTAATTATGGAGTAGTGATTATAATGTGAGCACAGTGGTTACAATGCTGAAAATAGCTCTGTTTCCAAACAATCTGCCAGTCACTTCCTTGCCTGGACTCTGCAATGAAACAAGGCTGCTGGAAAGCCTTGGCTGAGCTTTGTTGTGAGGCAGGCTAGATTTGGAGTGCGGGGGAGGGGGGCGTTGTAATTTCTTCCGCACTGACGGTCTTGATAGAATTGCATCATGGAACTGTGAAGCCTTAGCTAACTAGCACACTCTTATTTACAGACAGAAATTGTCTAGGAGTGGGGTGTGTGGATTCTGGGAGCTGTTTTCCAAAAAGTGATGTTTCCAAGCTTACTTAGAAGTCACAGATTTTTTTTTCACAATGCCTGAGATTATTGTGACGTCCTAGGAACTGTTGTTCAGCACATTTGCCCTTTCTGCTCTTGTTGTGAAATTGATGTCACCTAATTTTTCCTTGGGTTGGTGACTTTTTCCTTTTTTTCAAATCAAAAAATTCAAGTGAAAAAACAATTTGTGGAAGGGTAAAACTAATGGGGGAGGGGGATTTGGTATAACAGAAGTATTGTCTGCCTTGTCTGCATCACATTGGGTCACTGTGAAAGGAGGAAAATATTTCGCAAGCCCTGTTTGTGCCTGTTCAGTAACATGACATGTTTTCCCCCTCTGCAGCCTGACCATCCCTTTCGACAGTCCAAGGACACAGAAGAGAGACTGAAGGTCATCCCCAAATTCTGTTTCCCTGACCCCAAAGATTGGTGCCCAATGTCAGAATTAAAAAGGTGAGTGACTTTGAAAGGGTTTTTTCTTTATTTATGAATCCAGGTGAAGCAGTGAATATTTTGTAGGTTTTCGGTTTCTGACCCAAAGCAAACCATTCATTCAAGGGTGGGCAGCAATGTTGGAAATAGAAGAGACACACTTAGATGTTGAAATGTAGAGTTTAGCTGCCCTTCAGAACAAATTCCAAATCTCCGTTTTCATACAGTTTTGCAACTTTTACATAAGAGATCGGGAATGTTGCATTTTAAGACTAAAACTCCCAGAATCTCCCAGCCAGCATGTCTCCCAGCTGGCATGCTGCATGGAGGATTCTGGGAGTTGTAGTCCAGATCTTCCTGATCTCAGACAAAGGATATTGGGTAGAATTGGGTACGTCTTTGACTAATTAGAGGGAAAAAAAGGTACCTCGGTTGTCATCTTCTCATTTATTACTTTCTGTCCTTGCTGCCCTTTCTTTACTGCAGTGTCACAGTGTCTAGAGTAGAAATGGGCATGAAATGAACCATGAATAAAAAAACCCAATGAATCGGGCTGGTTCTGGTTCATTTTGTGACCCAGTTCAGGACTCCTGTTTTGCCAAAGCACAACAGAACACTGATTTTTCTCCCTTTGGCCTTTTGTTTGCTTCAGCAAAAGGGGATGACCACCAGCCCCCTTCCCGCTACCCTGTCACCTCTGCCTATATGCTCCTACCACTGCCTCATGGCTGCCAGCCTCAGAGGCTGTGAGCCCAGCTTTTTTGCCAGGAGCTGCCCTCTGCCCTGGAGCATGCGCCTCCGGCAGCAGTGGCGGAGGTTGGAGGTGGAGGCAGCAGGAGCAGGTCGGGTCCCCCCCGGCACAAATCTAAGGGTTCGTCATTAGTCAGAAATCTTCACAAATACCAGTTTTCCAGTTTGTTCCAATCTCTAGTCTAGCAATGTTGCTGGCCATAAATTTCCCATTCTGGTTGTCTACTCCAGTGGGTGCTCTGTGGGGGTATCATAAGAAGGTCATTTATTGGCTGACAGTTATGGTATTCTGTGGTAGGGCAGAGTTTCTGGGAGGCAACAAACGGACACATTATCTGTTCAAAATATTTAGAAGTTCTGGGCAATCCTGAATATTTTTGTACACAGGAACTGGACAAAGACAGGATGGCTTATATCCAGCGTTAAGTCAAAGTGGTGTAACTAGGTCCCTGCAAGATAGGTTATCTTTGCTTTCTGTGCTTCCTCAGTCTTGTAATTGTTGTTTTCCTTCGTCCAGCGAAACCTTTTCCTTTGTGTTGACTGGTGAGGACGGCAGCCGCTGGTTCGGATACTGCAAGAAGCTCTTGGTAAGTGGCACTCTTTGAGGCCAGTGTGGAAATGGTACCCTGGTGGATGAAGGGTTGCTTGCTTATTAACAGTCCTGAGGGCTTAGGTGGCGTTGGGTGCTGCAAACAACAGTTAGCAGCCTCAGTATATAAGCCAAATGAAGGTGGGAACAGATCCTCAGCCTGGCATATTGCAGACAAAAGAAGAGAGAGATCCACTAATGGAGGCCGAAGCAATAACGGTGAATGTTCCTTAGCAATCTGGTCATCTGCCATATCCTGCCACTTGCGCCTAACAATCTGCTTTTGTTGTCTTTTAGCCAGAAGGAAAAGGAAAGCGGCTCCCTGAGGTGTACTGCATGGTAAGCCGCTTAGGCTGCTTCAACCTTTTCTCTAAGGTGAGTGAACTGCAGTCGTAGCAAACATAGCTCTTTAAATTAGCCAGAGTGTGGTCAGAAGTCAATGTTTTCTTTTCCTCAGTTGCCCTTTGAAACTCTAAAACTGCTGTTTGCCTCCTCAGAGGTCATAGGCAGATGGTAAATTATGGACAATGATTTAAACAGACAGTACTTCATATCTGGAAAATGTTCCCCTTTTACCCAGTTTAATTTCTGTATTATGATCATTCATATCAGACGTTGAAAGCTGAAGGCCCTTGTGCCTGTGGATGGGCTTTAGGCATAGGACTGGGTGCCAAGTGGAGTGTCATGGGCATTTGGGTATTTTTCATAGGATTTGGGGGGGTCAGAATGTCCCTGTTCTGACCTAGGGCAGTCGTTCTCCACCTTTGGTCTTCCAGATATTTTTTTTAGACTTCAGCTCCCAAAATCCATGACCACTGGCCATGCTGGCTGAAACTCTGTGAGATGAAATCTAAACCTGCAGAGAAGCAAGAGTTAAGGATCACTTCTTTAAGGTGGATCCCACTGTGCTTCCACATTACTCCAAGCAAACTATTTTTCATTTAGAATTTCCAAACTACAAAACAAATGGGCTATGCGTGCTGCAAAAAAGAGATGGAATATGTGTGGCTTTAACACTTAAGAAACATGTGCAGTGGCAGGGCAGGGCAGATGGCCAAATCCTGGCCAAAATGCTGAGAACAAAATTTGAAAATGATACACATAAACTAGAGAGGTGAAAGAATGGGAGTGAAACACAGAGGAGGAAAAGGTAGAGAGACTTTTATTTTGGGAACACTGCATATAACGCAGAACATCTATGCTGTCGACGAAAGCTTGTGAAAGTGACATTTCAGTCCTCTTTGCTGCTTCTCATTTGTCGTGTAGCCAAGATGAACCAGTCCTATAACAGAAAATTCTGCTTTTGCAGATCTTAGATGAAGTGGAGAAAAGGCGTGAAATGTCCCCAGCCCTTGTGCATCCCTTCATGCGCAGCGTCATGGAAGCTCCATTCCCTGCTCCTGGGCGCACCATAACTGTGAAGAGCTTCCTACCAGGAGCTGGAAATGAGGTAAGAGCAAAGATACTGTGCGTTTCCTTCTGAGTCTTATCATGCAAACTCCCTCCATCATTTATGGAGTATTATGGGGGTCCAGATGATGACCTATTCCACTTGTGATTCCCCTTGAATTTTTCCCCTCACATCTCTTTCCTGCTTTGCTTTCTTTTCCTAATTACTTCAGGTGAAAAAGGCACAGCACCTTTCTGTTAGCAGCACTAGGAGCCCTTCTTCTGGAAAAGTGTTCTGCTTGCCTATGTGTGAAAGGAGCAATTCCACTAGAGATGCCAGGATTATTTCACTGACCGAAGTAGAGTTGGTCCTGTCATTAGTCAGAGTTAAGTGGCTGTCTCAGGCAGCAGAGCTTTGGATATCACTGCAGACAAGTCCTCTGTTATGGTTTAGGACCTGGAAGTTTGGATTCAGGCCTGATATGATTTGATTTGGATCCGAATAACGATTGGGAAATCTTTACATGTCCTATTTATTTGCATGAGAAAATAAATATAGCTATAACCTCCCCCCCAGATATGCATGGAATCTTGGAAATTAGTAGCCCTCTGAGAGAAGATTATTCCTTTCAAATTGTAGACAAAAAGATCTAGGGGTGGTGGCAGTGGCGGTTATAATAATAGATATTTTAAATATTTTCATTGAAAACACACTTTTGTTATTTTCTCACGTAAGTATGTGAAATTTAGGCATATTGTAGGCTCTTCTGAACTAATGATTCCTAACAAGATTCATACAGATAGATCCAGAAGTTTTTAAAAACTGTTTTACTTAATTATTCTTAGCATGTGTGTTGCATTTCTGCCAACTTTTCTGTTGAAATTCTTGTCTGAAATTGCAAGCTACAGTCAATGAGCAAAGTCTGGCTGAACTCCCTCTTTTCCATCTTATGACCTTGGTGTTTTCTTTGTGTGGAGTTACTTATCAGTATTTTGGAGCTGCAGTCATTGGCTTTCTTATAATATTGGAATCACTGACTCAGTCTGAAACAGTTTGGATTGCTCTGGATATGTTTTGGACCAATTTACTCTGGACTCGATTCAAATTGCTTTAAATCAGCCCAGTTCAGCTCAGAATTCAACTGATTGAATTGAACTGATTGAGTTGCACAGTGCTAGGTTTCGCTTCTTGAAATAGCGGGAAATTCTTACTGTAGTTATGTCAGTTATTGTGAGGAGGAAGGAAAAGGCATATGAGATTTTTCATCTGAGGTGCTGAAATAACTTGAGTGACTAAAAGTGTACTGTGCATTTTCCTTTCAGCAAAGGAGAGCCATTTATTGCTCCACCTCAGGCAACAAGGAAATCAGTTTACATAGAGTGGATTTACTACTTTATTTGCCCTTGTGATAAGCTTTAGATTGTGTTTTACTCTCTCATTTGCATTCCTATTAAATGTTTTGGATCTGGAGAAAACAGGATCCAAAACATGGTTCTTACCATGACTCTTTTTCTCTTTTTTTAGGTGATTGAGCTTTGCCGTCCACTAGATTCCCGGTTGGAGCATGTTGACTTTGAATGTCTATTTAAGTGCCTCAGTGTCTCTCACTTAATCCAAGTCTGTGCTTCTCTCCTGCTGGAAAGGAGAGTGATTTTTGTTGCTGACAATCTAAGGTAAGGCATAAATAATGGTTCCACTCCATAATTTTGTGCTGTTTACACTTGAAAACTCCTGTAGTGTTTCTTTTTCTTTTGGTTAAACCATCTAGGTCAGCTTTATTTCCTCCAAACTGAATCATTCTCCTTTCCTTTCTGAAAGCTGTCTGTGTGTGTCCATGTACATCCAATTCAGCCCTGAAGTTCATTACTTTCAGTGTGTGATGCTACATTTTAAGAATAGCACGTATTTTTTTAATTTTTTTGCGAAGAGCCACTCAGTGCATCATATTTTAGCTTGTGTCTGTGCTGAATTACTTCCTCTAGGCTTTGGATGCTTTTCAATTTTTGGAAATTTCATAAGCTGACAAATGTTTCATGTCTTGTGTTCTCCATCTAGCACCTTGTCCAAATGTGGTCATGCTGTGGTTGCAACACTTTACCCGTTCACCTGGCAACACACCTATATCCCTGTCCTGCCGGCTTCCATGATAGACATTGTCTGCTCACCTACCCCATTCCTTATTGGCATTCTCTCCTGCTCCTTAACCCACCTCCAGGACCTGCCTATAGAAGAGGTGAGTGTTCTTGGAATGCCTTGGGAAGGAATGCCCAAAGGGTGGCAATGTCCCAGCAACATTTTAGAAGAGGTGTAGGTAAGGTTTGTGGGCATGATTCTGTGACCAGTTCATTTTCAATAACATGCTGAGTTATTTGTCATGACCCACACATGCATGTACTTTCAGTCCATCTGTGAATTGTGAGTCACACCTTGATATCTCTAGTCCATTGGTGAAAGGTCAATCACACATTGGTCTCATCTGCTGGTGTATGGCTTTGTGTGACACAATGTCTTGTCCCAGTTCCTATTCTTAAAACCAATTCAATCAGTACCAAGATACTGGAAGATCTCAGGGCTCATTAGTAGCTCCCGCTCCTTGTTCTTCAGTTTATTTTTTAGCCCTGCTCAGCTGTTATTAGAGCAGACATATTTACCATGGATAAAGGACAGTGCATTAGTCCCACATAGAACTGTTTCTTATTTAATTGCTGTCCTGTATGTGGAGGGTGATGAATCTAAAGATGAAAGCCCCAACTATCTGTAGGGACTATCCATATGAACTGGAACCCTGGAAAATCCATATTCTAATTTATGTGGAGAACATCCACAGATATTGGGGACTCTTTAGACTTATTGTTCCCTGTTTGTAGGACAGTAATGAATCTGGAAACAGCAGGGAGGGAATGCTGTCCCCTACTCTCATAGGGTTCTCCCCCCCCAAGTAGACGTTGTTTAGAGGGGCGGGGTAAAAATTGAATCAATAAATAAAATAAATAAATCTGTAGGGGCATTAAATGTCTTGATAATGACTGAATACATTTATCAATATCAGTATGATCAGCACAGTGCATGGGGCCTAGAAGTTACCCTACTCCCTTCCTGAAAGTCCTGGGGATTCTACACTCTTCTTCCCTCATAGAATAACTGTGTGCCTCTTCATCTTTATCTGTAGGGGCATTAAATGTCTTGAGAATGACTGAATACATTTATCAATATAAGTATGTTCAGCACGGTGCATGGGGCCTAGAAGATACCCTACTCCCTTCCTGAAAGACCTGGGGATTCTACGCTCTTCTGCCTTCATAGAATAACTGTGTGCCTCTTCATCTTCTCCAGGTACTGATCGTTGATCTCTGTGCTGATAAATTTTTGCAGCAGGTGAGTAATTTGGCTTGTTTTACATGTTGCTCTTCAAGCAAGCTGAACAATTTTTTTCCATTATAGTGTTACTCAGGGGGTAGGCTTATGGGAACAAATATATGAAATACAAAAATATGAATGTGTGTGACATGGAAAGACCAGAATCATAGAATCGTGAAGCTGGAAGGGTCCCATAAGACCATCGAGGCCAATCCCCTGCTCAATGCAGGAATATAAGCCAAAGGATATTTGCCAGGGGGTTGTCTAAATCTCTCCTGAATGCCTCCAGTGTTAGAGCAACATCTCTTAAGGTAATTGATTCCACTGCTGTACTGCTCTTACAGTTAGGAAGTTTTTCCTGATATTCAACCAATCTGCTGACTCTTTCTTAGAATGAAACATGAGGGGAGCTGCAAATAGCACTGGCTGCAGTGGTGAGGCAGAGGAAGGATTTAATACATTCATCATCTTCTCAATCCTTCCCTGCGAGAGGCTGAGCAGCATTAATCCTTTTAGGATTTTGGCACCTGGCTAGGGTGGTTGATAGTCCCATGCTTGTTAACAAATCATGGTTGCCTTGTCTATTATTATCTGTATCCCTTTGTGGTCATAACTGTCACCACCATGGAGTGTGCTTGCTATTGTAACAATTCTATGGTGTCAAGACAAGTCTGACTTATGATAACCCTTTACAGGGTTTTCTAGGTATAGAGTACTCAGAATTGATTTCTAGGTGCATTCTGGAACTGTGCAACTTGTCCAAGACTACACAGGCTGGCTCTTCTTTCAGGCAGCACAGTGGGAAATTGAACACCCAACCTCTGGCTCTGCAATCGTATATGCAACACACTGAACAATATATAAATATGGTGGACTTGTCTGAAGAAGTGGATTTTGATTTACAAAAGCTCACACTGAAATAAAGCTGTTAGTCTTTGAAATGCCACAATATTTTTCTTTTCCCTCTCCCCCCCCATCTCACATCTCCTGCTCTTCCCACCCAACCCCTTCCCTCTCCTTTTTTCTCATTTAATTTTGACAACATGCTGAGACAGGCTAACATAGCTGCTTCTCTGAAAAATTTTAAGCATTGTTAGTCTTGCTATTTATGGTCTGGAAAGAGGTTTGCTTCCATATTGAAAGAATTGGGAATCCTGATGTCTGGGGAATTTAAACCATTATTAACTATACATTTAATCCAGATTTGCACACTACAGACTAGGTTTAATTTTAAATAGAAATGAAACCTTCCAAACTCCTCAATAAGACTTCATGGACAGTGCATAGAAGTGTGCAAGCCTGACTTTATGACTGGCAGGAGTGTAGGTTTTATACACAATCCCACCGACAATTCACTGCTTTGAAACTGCTGTTTGCAAATGGAGAGAAGCTGCAATTGGTACTATAGCTTCCGAAGCTAGAGTGTTTGATTCCTTCTTTCATTGGTCCCAATCCTGATACGTACTCTGTGGCTACTATTTACAAATACAGATATAAACATGCACAAGGCATCTGTAGCATAAAATATTGGTTACAGTCCTTTTGCTTAGTATATTAAGTCACAACTAGAAGAGGCCCTTTGAATCAGTGGGGATTTGGTGAATCATCTCTAGATGTTGGGGGATTTGTCTTAGTCTACGAACCTGCTGGTCCACTTACCACACAGTGTGCAGCGCTGGCATCATCATTAGTGAGCCAAGCCTGGCAGTAGCCTGGCTGCCACAGTCCTGCCTCCAAGCTTGCCCGGTGACTCCAGCAAGGTGGTGGGATGACAAGTCTCCTTGCTGAGCTGTGGAGTCACTGGGCGAGCAGAGAGGTGGAGCTGCGGCAGCTGGGCCACTGCCGTGATTGGTGCGCTGGCGATGACACCAGCCATGTGCACCATGCAGTAAGTTGGCTGGCAGGTTGTGGGGGCAGGAGGTAATCATTCTGGCCACCTGTGCTGGTGGGATTTGTCTTCGAAGACAAACCCCCATCTCTAGTCAATGGGCCTGCTTTATTTGTGATTTACTGTGCTAAGTAGTAGAATTGCAGCTATATCTTGGCAGTTAGAAATCTTGTCTCTCCCTCTCTATTTTCTGCATTTCCTCTCCATGAGACTTCTTTTCTTCATTGTCTAGACAGTCAAAGCTTCCTGTGGATAACTGTTCTTAAAATAATCACTCACAATGTCAATCTCTGCTGATCTCCATTTTCCTCCTGTTGGCCGAAGGAGTTGCTCTCATAGGCAAAACATGCAAAGACTGAAAAAAAAATTCAGGGTAACATTTCACAAAGGAGAAGTAAATGGTTTTGGCCTTTAGGGTTCAAACACTCACTCTGAGCTCAGAGTTCACTTTGGCCTTCAGGATGTTTGGAAGATTGCTTTTATTTGCAGGATCTAGTATTTCAGTGCCTCAGAATTAACACTTGTTTTTTTTTAAATTGCAATTCCCAGAGTACACCTGCACACTTGGCCAGTTCTAGGACCCTTTGCATGTCTAACACCGAGCTTCCCCATGTCCATTAACATTTGCAGCTGATTACTAACCTTAGATTGATGTTGTTTCTATGCTGCTGTCAGTGTGCATGGTGTTTTCACACAGTAAAATAAGCAAAATACAGGATTCTGCCACCAAGAATCTCTGTTTAGGTTAGGCAGTGGCTGAAATGTGAGCAGTAGGGAGCAAGACAGAGGCAAAGACAGTACTGTCCAAGTGCAAAAGTTGGTACTTTGACTTAGAGCTTATTTCAGTTCAGAATGGAAATTTAAAGGGTTAGACCAAAGGCTGTTTAGAAGACATGATTTTTTGAGCTGCAGTTTGAAGAAGAAAAAGTTGGCACCAAGAAGTGGTAGATACATGAATATGTGAATTCCAGGGAAGCACAGAGGAATGAGCAATCTTTTAAGGTTGGGGCAGAAAGCAGAGCTTGGAGGGAGAAAATTAATTGCTTGTCACTTGAAACTGGACTGAGAACTGTTTGCTTCAGTACATAAAGTTGTCTTCAATTTTAAGCAATTTCTGGACACATGCACATTAAAGAGATACGGCCTTATGAGTTTCCCTGACTTGTAAATTTTTTTTCTCTTTAGACATTCTACTTCATTTCTCAGCACTAGATATCTGCAATAGTTGTGTCAACTTTTGTCATGTTTTGTTTTTATACTGTCAATCTGTATGTAGAATCTGTTTTTAACCCCAGTTTTATTTTGTTTCACTCTTTCATCCTGTATAGTCATAAGAACACTGGTATTATTTCATATTGCAATCCACACCATCCACCAGTTATTTTTGTGTCCCATTTCTGAATGCAGCAAGTTATTTACCTGCCTCATTTTTGCTGCTTTTTATTTTAAAGGTTTCAGATGAAGATGAAATTCTACCTCACAAGCTGCAAGCTGCACTCACACAGATCTTGGAGGAAAGGAATGAAATCTTGTCTCAGGAGCGAAGTTATACACAAGGTAATTGAATTAGAAACTCAAAGTATCATGATTTATAATGTCTGTGTTAACTTTTTGACCTGAAGGCTCCAGTGCTTGCTGTTGAATTCCTAAACTGAGGAATAGGAACTGAGCTCAGTGGGTCTCAGATAGGTTGAAATGGAAAAGCTCCAGTTGCTTTAATGACACATGGAGCTAAATCTCATTATTAATCCCTGCTATAGTTGAGTGGGAAAAGAGCGGGAAAAGCTGTACGGGGATACAATCTCGAAAATGATACAATGATTTCAATACGAATCCAAGGCAGACTTTTCAACATCACAGTAATCCAAGTTTATGCAGCAACCACCCATGCTGAAATGGACAAATTGTATGAAGACTTACAACACCTTCTACAACTGACACCAAAGAAGATGTCCTTCTCATTATAGGGGACTGGGATGCTAAAGTAGGGAGTCAAGAGATAAAAGGAACAACAGGGAAGTTTGGCCTTGGAGTTCAAAACAAAGCAGGGCAAAGGTTAATAGAGATTTGTCAAGAGAACAAGCTGGTCATCACAAACACTCTTTTCCAACAACACAAGAGGTGGCTCTATACATGGATATCACCAGATAGGCAATACCGAAAGCAGATCGATTTTGTTCTCTGCTGCCAAAGATGGAGAAGCTCTATACAGTTAGCAAAAACAAGACCTGGAGCTGATTGTGGTTCTGATCATCAGCTTCTAATAGCAAAACTCAAGCTTAAACTGAAAAAAGTAGGAAAAACCATGGGGCTAGTCAGGTATAATCTAAACCAAATCCCTTATGAATACACAGTGGAAGTGAAGAACAATTTTAGGAACTAGATTTGGTGGACAGAGTGCCTGGATAACTGTGGCTGGAGGCTTGTAACATTGTGCAGGAGGCAGCAACAAAAACCATCCCAAAGAAAAGAAAATGCAAGAAAGCAAAGTGGCTGTCCAATGAGGCCTTACAAATAACAGAGAAAAGAAGGGAAACAAAATGCAAGGGAGATAGGGAAAGTTATAGAAAATTGAACACAGACTTCCAAAGAATAGCAAGGAGAGACAAGAGGGCCTTCTTAAATGAACAGTGCAAGGATATAGAGGAAAATAATAGAAAGGGGAAACCCAGAGATCCGTTCAAGAAAACTGGAGATATTAAAGGAACATTTTGTGCAAAGATGGACGTGATAAAGGACAAAAATGGAAGGGACCTCACAGAAGCAGAAGACATCAAGAAGAGGTGGCAAGAACACACAGAGGAACTATACCAGAAAGATTTGGATATCCCGGACAACCCAGACAATGTAGTTGCTGACCTAGAGCCAGACATCCTGGAGAGTGAAGTCAAATGGGCCTTAGAAAGCTTGGTTAACAACAAGGCCAGTGGAGGTGATGGCATTCCAGTTGAACTATTTAAAATCTTAAAAGACGACACTGTTAAGGCGCTGCACTCAATATGCCAGCAAATTTAGAAATCTCAGCAGTGGCCAGATGACTGGAAAAGATCAGTCTACATCCCAATCCCAAAGAAGAGCAGTGCCAAAGAATGCTCCAACTATTGTACAATTGCACTCATTTCACATACTAGCAAGGTTATGCTCAAAATCTTACAAGGTAGGCTTCAGCAGTATGTGGACCAAGAACTCCCAGAAGTACAAGCTGGATTTTGAAGGGGCAGAGGAACTAGAGACCAAATTGCTAACATGCGCTGGATTATGGAGAAAACGAGAGAGTTCCAGAAAAATATCTACTTCTGCTTCATTGACTACGTATCAGAAGCCTTTGACTGTGTCAACCACAACAAACTATGGCAAGTTCTTGAAGAGATGGGAGTGCCTGACCACCTTATCTATCTTCTGAGAAATCTATATGTGGGACAGGAAGCAACAGTTAGAACTGGATATGGAACAACTGATTGGTTCAACATTGGGAAAGGAGTACGACAAGGCTGTATATTGTCTCCCTGCTTATTTAACTTACATGCAGAATACATCATGAGAAAGGCAGGACTGGGTGAATCCCAAGCCGGAATTAAGATTGCTAGAAGAAATATCAACAACTACAGATATGCAGACGATACCACTCACAGAAAGTGAGGAGGAATTAAAGAACACAGGGTGGCCTGGCATGCTCTGGTCCATGGGGTCACAAAGAGTCGGACACAACTTAACGACTAAACAACATCAAAAATAGTTGACCTGTTCAATCAATGGCTATTCTGTGTTAACTTTTGATTTGACAAGACCCCTTCATAGGTCTGAATTCCTAGTGCATTGTGCACAGAGAATAAGAGAAACGCCTGTGGAAAGTACCTCTTTCCCTCTATGAAAAATGGAAAACCACACATTTGTACTTATATCAGTCCTCATCACACTTGAGGATGAGTTCAGATTCCTAGAGTTTTATGAAGCCAACGCCTGACATTCCATCCTGTATGTCAGTTTCAATTGAGTTTGTTTCAGTAATTAGTTATGCAGACTAGGGGAGGGGACTCTTTAACCCACCAACCTAATCGGGGTGGCAGAATTCCTTTGTGTACCACTCTATTTGGGTAGCTTATATGCTCCCCCCAACCTAAGTTCATTTCTGTGTCCCTCACATAGACTAAATGGGATGGGTGAGCTTTGCATGGCTTTTAGAATGAGAGGTTAGTGCTTTTCAGAAGGGAAATATGATTTCTTTGTGTCTTCTGGTAGGTGAAGTAACTCTGGACTCCCTAGTATCAGAAGCTTTTGTGCGTTTCTTCGTGGAGATTGTGGGGCACTACTCGTTACACATGCTTGTTACTGAGAAAGGAGAGCGAGTGTTCCAACGGGAGCCCTTCCGGAAGTCCCACACCTCCCGCAGTGTGCGCCATTTCCTTGAAATCTTCATGGAGACACAAATGTTTGCTGGTTTCATACAGGATCGAGAACTCCGGAAGAGTGGGGTTAAAGGTGGGACCAACAAATCCTGCTGTATATTCTGCTTTGTGTATAACAAAAATGTTACAGATCTAGAATTATTTTATGTCTGTAGTCTGTGCTTTGTTCTCTTGAGGAGATCTGGAAGATAGTGTTGCCTGAGCCTAGAAATCTTGCTAGTACATTGCCACCAAAAGCATTTTTTATTGGTGAGGCTTGGAAAAATAGAGTGAATTTAAGTGGTTTAAGGACTTTTTTTTTTGCTGCCTTGGCGACCTTTCCCTGTTAAAAGTATCTTCTAGAAACTAGCTGTTCAAAGATGCTAGCCTTGCTGGTTGTAAGATTGCCAAAGATTGTTTATGAATTTAAAACCAGTATGTCAAATGCTTCACACAATAACACTTTATTAAAACAGACGAAAAACCTACACATATAGGTATGAGGGGTTGGAAAAGTTATTTTTTCAACTATAATTCCAAAAGTATAATTCCTGTTAGTCACGATAACTGTAAGAATCTGGATTTGGATTTTTTTTTTAAATCAACTTTCCCAAGCACTGGACAGCACCTTTCAGTATGATGAATAGAAGAGGAGCTCTTCATTTATGGCAATATCACAACTGGAGATGACGGAGACTAAAGGTGTGGCTAAACAGCATGGAAAATGTGATTGGATCCATAGTTTTTCAAATTTGGTTTCCATAGGTGAAATCACTGTAGCTGTCCAGATGATAAACAATTTGCAGAAGCTCACAGAAGTAGAGCTGTATCTGCATGCCGCTCCAACAGGAGAAATTGCCTTTGACAAGGTGCTAATTGGCAAATTTTGTACCCCTTGTTTTTAACTTTTATTTTCCCTAAGTGACCTAATATATCTGCATGCCACTCCAACAGGAGAAATTGCCTTCGACAAGGTGCTAATCGGCAAATTTTTTACCCCTTGTTCTTAACTTTTATTTTCCCTAAGTGACCTAATGATACCCTCTTCCAATGGGGCCTTCAAAGCCTTTTAAAAAGTGCAGCAAACACTGTTTGAAGACAAGGAGTGCTCATTTTGGAGAAACTGGCACACCTTTGCCTTTGGATTAGGCGATCACATAGAGCAAAAAGTGGAGAAAAGTGATGCTGCCTGTCAGAGCAAATTTAAATTTCCTCTGCTGGATGAACAAAAAAAAAGATGGTTCCTCATGCCAAAGAGACAATTCCACAGTGGGCTTCCCTGCATTGAGCTTTCTGTTGTGTACTCTCAGGGTTTTGATTTGAATTTATGTATGCTCAGTCCTAAGCAAATTGCAGGCTAATGGCCAAAGTAGTCACCCCTAAATCCAGCGTTATGCAGAAGGACTTCCACTCACACAATCGGAATTTCTGTTTGCCTCCTCACTGCTTTATTCCCCGAAATCTGCTTTGCAGGGTACATGGATAGAGTTGTAGGGCAAGGGAAAATTAGTTCTATTAGTAGGGTTTGACCACTGGTGAAAAGACATTACCTCAGTAAATGCACACAGAATTGAGGTGCTTACCAGTGATGTCACATCCAATATTCATACAGTACTTGGGAGTGACAAAGGAAAAGATTTGAGAAATACATTTTTCAGTTTGCTGCTGAGTGCTTTGCATGGTTCTCAGTATTAGGACTTCTGTTCTTCCCACCTCTTAGCACAAATGGCTGGCAGCATCCTTAGGTTCTTCCCTTCTTTCAAGAAAGAAAGAATGTATTAAGGCTAGAAAATGAACATTTGCATATGAAAGAACTGACAGATACGTACATATTGCAGAATTTAAAGACTGCTAGCATGGATTTTCAGAAGTATGGAACACTGTATGTGTATGTGAACAAAATTCTAAATTTCTTGTATGTTTCCTTGCTTATTTAAAATGATACACTTTACATTTAAAAAGAAAAGCTGCATTCTACAAAGAAGTGTGTGTCTAAGTGATACTTTTCTTCACTAGGCTTGTTTGAAGTCCGTGCCTTGGAATATTTGGAAACCATTCCAGAGTCTGAGCCAAGTGGGATGAACAAAATCCTTCGCAGTCTGGGTAAATAATGCTAAGCTTTGTTCTTGGCTTCCTTGGTTGGTTGTAATTTGTACAGCTGTTGACGCAAAAAAACCTCAAGCCTTGATAATGGTCTTTTTTGGCTAGGATTCAACAACGAATTGAACTACCTGTTTCAATGGACTTACTTTGCAAAATCTTCCTCCTTCATGCAGCTTTCTAAGTTCTAGTACTTCATTTTGGTTAGGATGAGCTGCTTTAGTACTGGAAATGTTTAATACTGTACATGCGTTCCTGCATAAGCTTTAGAAAGAAATATCACCAAAACAGTGTGTATTTCTTCAGGATGAGATGCACTTTTGTCTCATTCCTTGATGGTGAAAGTTTCTTAAACTAAACTTTTAGTGTAGTTTGAGATTTCACCAAGCATATAAGGTTGCAGTCTGAAACACCTAAACAGAAATAAATTGCACTAAACGTTGAGAGACTTTCCTCCTAGTTGGTGTGCATAGGATTTGTGCAAGAGGAAATGCTTAGGGTCAAACAGAATGTTTGCAGTACAGCCTTACTCTTATTTTGCCCTTATTCCTCCCTAGTTGATACTCCTTCTCTGGCCCCTTGATATTACTGAAAATGCTTTATTTTTTCTGGGCTCTTTGAGGGTTGTTTTCCACTTCTGCACACCTCAGGTTTCACCTGGCTATCTTGATACCTACCTTTTGCTTCTCTGTCACCCTGTTTTGGCTTTAATGTTGTTTAACACAACTACTTAAATTTCCTGTTAAGGTGATCCATAACAAAACACTGCAATGTTGACGCTTCCAGCCAATTCAGTGTTCCAGATGCTCAAGCCATCTTTGAAGATAGTATATTGAATTATTAGTTTTTGTCAGCCTCTCTCAAAAACTTCAGCATTCTGTACCCACTGTGCATGTTCAGTCTTCAACAGAATGTTTTAGGGGTATTTGTTGTTTTCATAGAATCATGACATTGGCAGGGGCCTATAAGGTCATTGAGTCCAATCCCCTGCTCAATGCAGGAGTACAAATCAAAGGATATCTGCCAGGTGGTTGTCTATGTTTTTCTTGAATACCTCCAGTGTTGGAGCCCTCATCACCTCTTGAGGTAATTGATCCCACTGCCATACTGATCTAACAGTTAGGAATTTTTTTCTAATATTCAACTGAAATCTGGCTTCCTGTAACTTGAGCCCGTTGTTGTGTGTCCTGCGAAGGAAAGATCCTGCTCCTCCTCTGTGTGACAACCTTTCAAGTATTTGAAAAAGTGCTATCATATCTCCCTCTAGTCTTCTTTTCTCAAGGTTAACATTCCCACTTCTTTCAGTTTCCTTATAGGGCTAAGGGAAGATCCTGCTCCTCCTCTGTGTGACAACCTTTCAAGTATTTGAAAAAGTGCTATCATATCTCCCTCTAGTCTTCTTTTCTCAAGGTTAACATTCCCACTTCTTTCAGTTTCCTTATAGGGCTTTTCCAGTCTTCTTTTCTCAAGGTTAACATGCCCACTTCTTTCAGTTTCCTTATAGGGCTTGGTTTCCAACCCCCTGATCATCTTTGCTGCCCTCCTCTGAACTTGTTCCAATTTGTCAGCTTCTTTCTGTCCTAACCAGTGTCAAATATAGGGGAACTAGTACCTTGCGGGATTTGGAGACTACACTTCTGCATCCTAAAATAGCATTTGCCTTTTTTGTAGCTACATCACAATGTTGGCTCATATTCAACTTGATATCTTTGACAGTTCCAAGATCCTTCTCACTTATAACATTGCTGAGCCATGTATCCTCCATCTTGTAACTGTGTGTTTGGTTTCTTTTTCCTAGATACAGTACTTTGCACTTATCCCTGTTGAATTTTATTTTGTTGTTTTCAGCCCAGTGCTCCATCCTATCTAGATCATTTTGAATTTTGTTTCTGTCTTTTAGGGTATTAGCTAGTCCACCCAATTTTGTGTCATTCTCAAATTTGATTAGTGTTCCCTGCATCTCCCTGATACAAGCCACTAGTAAAAATGTTGAAGAGCACAGGGTCCCTGATTGAGCGATGGGGGACCCCACTTGTTATCTCTTCTCAGTTTGAGAAGGAGCCATTAATTATAATCCTCTGAGTATGATTCTGTAGTCACCTGTGTATCCCCCTGACAACTGTTCTATCCATCCCACACGTAGTTACCTTGCTAATCAGAATATCATGGGGCATTTTGTCAAAAGATTTGCTGAAGTCAAGATATACTATGTCTGTTCTTCTGCAAATTTAGGAGTTACAGTAAGCATGCTCATACCTCACTCATACTGAAATAATAAATGAATGTGCTTGGATGTAGAACTTTAAGGCTATGATCCAAAGAGCTACTTAATGCATATCCAAGAACCTCAGATTTTAGTTTTTCCTTTTATAAATATCAGATCCTACGCTCTGTCACAAATTGCTTCAAAAGCCTTCTTGGTTTCAAAATATTTTTTGTATTTTGAAAAACACAAGCTTGACCCTCCCTTGGGCATGCAGAACAACTGAGCAATTCCTTGGTTCTTGCCTTAAGATGTTGCACTAGATCTGTTTTATCATCTACAGTATTTGTAAACTTCTCACTCAGTGATAAGGGAATGTCTGAACAAATAAACTGTCAAATGTTTAAGTTGTGTTCTTATATTCTTCTAGGTAATAAAATGAAATTTCTACAAAAGAAGTGAGAAGTCAGATGCAGAATTGTTACTTAGCAAGGTTTAAGTTCCAGACCAGCCATAACAAGGTAGCATTGTCTTTCCTGTTGCTGGCATTGATATGGGATTTCTGCGATTCAGCTCAGTTGATCTTCAAGCAGCTCAGAAAAAAGTGCCTCAAATCTGAATGGTATTTTGGCTCTGCCTGTTACTACTGGAGAATTGCTGCAAGAAACTGGGTTTTTGTCTGTTTGTAGGACTGGTGTATAAAAGGAAACTTAGCTGACTTTGTGAATTATATTTCTGTTTAATGCTGCTTGGCCTCTGCCTTCAACCACTCTTTTATAAAAGGAGTTCTGCTCAAAGCAATTGAAGAGCTATGTTGATGACCTTTAAAAAGAGAAATAGGCCTGGAGGGGAAATGAATTCACTAACTACAGTACTGCACAGCAGAGATTTCCTACACAAGGAAACTTCCTTTCAACTGGAGAGGCAAACCTATAGGAACTGTTCATCAGTCCTCTTCTGCACAACCTTCTTCTCATATTCTCTACTAATGACCTGGATTCAGCCATGTTGTCTCTTCAACTGTTGATTTTACCTTATATATTAGAAAGCTGTCTATTTTGTAGATGTTGAAAGTAAAGTTGAATATTGAATTGTTCACTCTTTTGGTTTTACGTGCAAGATTTGGCCTGTGCTAGCCATGTCTAATGTACATATTCTCTGATGTTTCTATAAAACTCATCTCCATTACATCAGAGAGTATATACCTCACAAAAGAGTAGTGTTTACTTTGCAAGGAAAACACCATTTGATCCCATGTGGGAGCATGAAAACTTTAAAAGAATATACATGGTAGAATTAAAATGAGCTGGTTTGGCCAAATACAGAAACACAGTTGAAGACAAACAATTTCTTCCAATTGTGTGTTGCTGCAAAACCTCAATGGGATAGAAGTGTTTTATTTCCCCAGAAATATACTTCTGCTCATCTGCCACAGGTATGCTCAGAGCATTCCTTTCTCATCTGAATCTATCTTTGATGTTACCCACGTTGAAGAAATAATTGATTTCTTTTGTCAACCATGACAGGAATTGTTGCCACACTATTTATATGACTAATGACTAAGCCCGTGCCATAATTAAATATGACATGTGAAATATAATATTGTTTTCTTACTAGAGTACTCCAGGTATTCTTGCCTCTGTGGATCTGTTGCATAAAACCACAGACTACTATTCACTGGAGTTTTGCCATATGTTTACATGTAAGAAATTGCATCAGGATTAATGTGTAGGACTGCTCTGCAGTCTTCAACTGAGTGAAAGATTGCAAATGTAAGAGGAATTCCCTTGACACTTTTAATTGAAGAATGCTGCTGTACCAGACTTATTTCCTCTAGAGTACAGCCAAGCAGAACTCTTAGTTTTGATTCAAAATGCTTTCTGTGGTTCCAAGATATTTTCCTTTTTCGGAAAGGTGCTCCTTGTGCTGATGAGAGGTTTTGAGTATTTGTCTTCTTGCAGCATGCATCGGGGACCATATAGAGAGGAGAAAATGTCAATAAATGATACAGTGATTACATCAGAGAATATATGTCTGAAGTGTCAGTCCTGCCTACATTGTTTGGAGCAGAAAGAACTAAAAAAACCTTGGGGCCTATATTAGGAGTCTTGGAAAAATGCTTTTGAGGTGCATTTGTGTAAGACCAACAAACAATTCTCATGCATTTTAACTCAGAAGCAAATCCCTCTGAATCCAGTGGGATTTATTTCCAAGTATGTCCTGATGGGATTTTAGCCTAGGCTAGTGAATAAGTGCCATGAAGTTAATGATACATACTTCTGAGTAAGCATGCATAGGATTTTGTCGTGTCCATTTGTCCAGTTTCTTTGGCCACATGTTTTAGAACCACTAACTGACCTAGCTTGCTGCTAAAGTTTTGGTTTGCATGTCTCACATTGCACCTGTCACAGAATTAGGACAGAATCCAGTTAGTAAAAGAGAATTTAATGGTTCTGTGTGATCCCCAGCTTGCAGTTATACAATGTGGGGACTTCTGCATTAAAAACAACAGGACTTCCTTGTGAATTATGCACACCCAAAAACAAACAAAAAACTGAATGCACAATGGATGTTGTGTGCCTGGTAAAAACAAACAGGATTTGGGCCTAAGATTCTTGATGCGACAAAGCAGTGGCTGGAAACCTATCAATACTCATGCCAGGTTTGTGTAACTTGCTGTGGCTAATTGATAAAGTCAAGGAGCACATTCTGGTTGTTCAGTTGAGCATATGACCAACACATACCTGGCAAATTGTCAGTTAATACTTGGCAAGTTTTGGAAAATTTTACATGAATACCAGTAGGATTCTGGCCAGTGATTTTATAGTATGTTTCAGCACTTAAAAAGAATTGCACCTGAGAGGAGAAAAGCAGGAAGAAATTGGATTCTGTTGTTCATCATACCCACCTTTGAGAAATGATTGTGTTAACTTAGTCCCAGTTCTAATGTTTATTATACCTGTCAACCATTGCACACTCCTGGGTCAGAAATACATGCCTCTCCTTCATCTCCATTAAAACATGTTCTTTCAGATTGTTTGTATCACTCAACGCTAGTCTTTATCTTGTGTGCTGCTTTTGTATTTTATGTTTTGGCCATTTTTTAAAATAAAAGCTATATTTTGAGGTGTACAGAAGAAACTAGTGAAACCAAAAATGTACAGTAACTGTAATAAACTAAGTTCCTTCAGAAACAGGTTCAAATAAAATGTGTTGGGTTTGTATATTGTATCATTTCTTTGGTACTTCCTAGTCTAGGCTGAAATCCTGTCTCTCAATGCTTGGAATTAGAAGGGATGGGAAGGAGGGGCTCTGTGATTATCTCACCAGTAGTGTAACTTTTACATTTTAAAGGAGAAATCTTCAATTTCTGCCTGGGAGCTGCAGTTTATGAAGAATATTGTAACCTGCCTTATGAGTAGTCTTGACAGAAGTGCATCATACCCTCTGACTTTGCTGCCTCTTCCTTTGTACTAACTGAAGGTTTTAGATCAGCCAGAACTGCTTACATCCATTGAGCCCCAATAAATATAGAAAGCCATTGGAGTCTTTGACGGAGATGCAGCATTCCTTTTGCTAGATTGCAGTATGTGCTATAGTGAGAGGAAGCACTCAAGTAGCCCCTCTGAGGCCAGCTGGGCATAGTCCTTGAACCCAGATGCTGCAAGGGTGGACAGCCCGAGAGGAAGCACTCAAGTGCCCTCACATGCTGTGAACCCAGATGCTGCAAGGGTGGACAGCCCACCTTCTCACAATGGGGGTCAGTGTACCATGACCAAGGCATTCCCGAGTCTTTATAGCCCATCTTCCCTACGTTGAAACTGGCAAAGAGGAATGAGACAATAGCCAACTACTACTGTTTCCAGAGTGTGTGTGTGGAGTTACAGTAGGTGCTAAGCAGCACAAACTCTTCCTCCCAGCTAATCATGTTACTTCCTTTATATGATAACTGCTCTTAGAACAATAGCTTTGTGAGTTTCTTTCTCTGTTCATGGCTCCCACTAAGTTCTCTTCGTAAAATACCATGTAAATGTGTTTTATACAGCAAATTTCCTGATGCAAAGTGAACTCTGTCAATGTGCTGACAGATCAACTGTTTAAATATCCAAACATACAAAGGGCAAGAACACAGAGGGCCATTCTTATTGAGAGCTGATAATTATAGAAGTCTGGGTACAACTACATCGCTGCGATTTGATTAGGAGCCTATATTATGTTTGAAATCAAAGTCAGCGCCCCCATGGGGGTTGCAGATTGGATTGAGAGTTTGTGAAAAGGGCAGCGAGGATGAGGCTTCTCTTGCTGGAATGCTGTCAGTCATAGACCTGGGAAGTAAGAAGAAAGCGTGTCTAGAACAGCCCAAAGGGGGAGGGCAGGATAGACATACTGAGGAAAGGGAATCCAATACCCTGGTGTCAGGCTTAAGGGGGGTGGGTATTGGTGAAGGAAGGGAGAAATGATGGGAAATGAGAAGAAGGAGATAGAGACCCGAGAGGCAGGGCAAGGGGAAGCTATAAAGAGGGATGAGCCTTTGCCGCCAGGGTGGGAATATATATGGATGAAAGAACCCTGGACAGATAGATGGGAGAGGATTGGAATTCCCCACAAAGAAGCAGATTATAGGAGAACCCCCATTCCAGTTCATCCTTCTTATTGGGGAGGGAGAGAGGCTAAGGAGTGGTGGAGAAAGTAGAGAGAAGGTAGAGGCAGAAAGACAGGCGAGGACAGGATGGAGGATTCTGGAGATGAGAATGGAGGAGAGAAAAAGGGATGGCAAATGCTGGATAAGCAGGGAGATACCCAGTGGGACGGGATTCCCAGAGATAACACTGTGTCCCTGTTGCTGGGTTCGCCAACCCCTACTTTGAAACATTGGACATACCGGTATATTGATCCACCAGGACCCTGGAACAGCAGTTGTAATAACCCATTTGTTATGGACAGGTCCCTGTTACTGGGTTCGCCAACCCCTACTTTGAAGCATTGGACATATATTGATCCACCAGGACCCTGGAACAACAGTTGTAATAACCCATTTGTTATGGACAGTTGGAAACCCCTGATGGCCACGTTGGCTGAAGGATATAAGAACTCAGATTCATTTAAAGACACTGGTTTATTTGTTAAGAGCACAATAAACGTTCCTTTGTTAGACTGGGTTCGCCAACCCCTACTTTGAAGCATTGGACATATATTGATCCACCAGGACCCTGGAACAACAGTTGTAATAACCCATTTGTTATGGACAGTTGGAAACCCCTGATGGCCACGTTGGCTGAAGGATATAAGAACTCAGATTCATTTAAAGACACTGGTTTATTTGTTAAGAGCACAATAAACGTTCCTTTGTTAGAAAAACAATCCGCGTCTGAAGCGTTCCTTTTGAACGAGCCGGGGTTGATCCCCACATGCTCCGAACCCTCACAAAGTTCACAATTCATACTGGATGTGCTGAGTCTCCCTTTCTTTCCTTCCTTCCTCTGGTTCCACCTCTGAATCCTCCCTTCCTTCTCTGGTCCTGCTTCTGCTGATCCCTTTATGGCAGCGCTCCCCAACATTTTTAGCCCTGTGGACTGGCTGAGAAAGGCAGCCCCTCTGCGCTCGTGTGCATGCACGAAGGTGCGTGTGCACTTGTGTGCATGTGTGAAGGGGGGTGCAGCACTCGTTGGCATGCACGTGTGCACACGATTGTGTACATGCGCAAAGGGTGGCACAGTGCTTGCGTGGGTGCACTCATGCTCGCACGCAGGTGCAAACAGGCTGTAGGGGGGAGTGCATGCAGGGGTGGGGGGGAGGCCTCTCTCCGCGGCCCGGTTGTGCTCAAGCCACAGACCAGCACCAAGCCATGGACTGGGGGTTGGGGACCTCTGCTTTATGAGATTGTAATTGTGGGAATAACAAGCACTCAGTGATAAGGTGATAGGGTGATCTAGCGCTAATCACATATATGTATTTTTTTAAATAAAAATTCAGAGGGCTACCTGGGGAATCCAAATCTCACACAACAGAGACCAGGCCAAGGTAACTGAACATGCCAGCAAAACCCAGGCCAAGGACCTTTAATTTTCATATGGCCCTGCCACAGTCTATTACTATTTCTCCAAACATTTATCAACTAAAGGAGACTTCCTCACTGGCTTAGCCCAAGATCTTTTTCAAAATACTGTACAGTGTTGGTGGCCTTTAGCTGTAGAATCGACAAAATTGAGGCATTCTGAGATTTTAAACAATTTTTAAGTGATTGGTAGGGATTAAATCCTTGAATACTTCTCTAACACTGTGGGGAGCATACTTTATCTGCTACCCTGAGTGTGTGTGAGGTATCATCCTTGAGGACTTGGAGGGAAGAAAGTGGGAGCTGCCCTTATATGCCTTTCTCAAAGTGAAATGGATCTTTACAGCTGTTGCTTCCCTGGCCACTTCTTCCTTAACAAATGGCTCAGACAGGCAGGCATTTATCTGCTGTTTGGTTCCCTGTGAGGATGGGTTTGTTTCTTCTTTTCTTCTAGTGAAACCATCCTGAGTGGGGATGAACCTTTCTGAGCTCCTGTCAGGGGATTCTACTTTTTCTTTTTGACGCAGGTAGGATTGCTGTTTTGGTCAGTTTCCAGTATGTGTGATCTCTAGGAGTGAACAAAACACAATCCTTCCCAACTGTCAAGGTGTCTTCTAACTGGAATTTTTAAAATATAATTAAGTGGCTTTGTAAGCAGGATATTGGCAAATTAAAACTTCCACTGCTCCTAGCTGGAGAGGCAGAAGTGAATTTTCTTTTGACAGGTAGAAGCAACTGAGGTACTGCACCACTGTAAAAAAAAAAAGAGAGAGAGACAAACGGTATTTTCTTTGGTTTCTGTTTAAGGACCAGTCAAAAAATCACCTGCTGTGAATCCTTTCGGTCACTTTCTCGACCAGCCCTGGTACTGCACCACTGTAAAAAAAGAGAGAGAGACAAACGGTATTTTCTTTGGTTTCTGTTTAAGGACCAGTCAAAAAATCACCTGCTGTGAATCCTTTCGGTCACTTTCTCGACCAGCCCTTCAGATAAACAAAAGAAAATAATATTTTTTTTTATTTTGTTAAAATAAGCTTCACACTGAAATAAAATACGTTGGCCTTGCAGGTGCCCATACAGTTCGCGCAGCCGCGCTGGATAGGAAGAAAAAGCTGCGTTTTTGCGCAGGCGCAACGAAAGCCACGGAGGGGGGCGGAGACGGGGAGAGCGCAGGCGCAGTGTAATTTTCTTTTGAGAAACCGGCGCGTCGGGGGAAGCGCGCGTTATGGCCGGCCCTGGTTTGGTGGCTGGCGAGGTCGCGGTAGACGCGTTGCCCTATTTTGACCAAGGCTATGAGGCGCCGGGCGTACGAGAGGCGGTGAGTGTGGCGCGGCCGGGCGGGCGGAAGAGAGGGGTGTTTGGGGCGACGCGGAGTCCGTCTCCGGGGGGGCGCTGACCTTGTATCTCTTTCTGCCTCCCGCGACTGTCCGTCCAGGCCGCGGCGCTGGTGGAGGAAGAGACGCGGCGTTACCGGCCCACTAAGAACTACCTGAGCTACCTGACTGCGCCGGACTACAGCGCTTTCGAGGTGAGGAAGGGCGATCAGATATCTCGGCCCTTGGTCCGATGGCTTCCCAGGGTTTGATTCTGACTGACGGCAGGGAACATTGTCTGAGGAAGAAGCATTGGATCCACGAAAGCTGTCAATTGACTCAAGTCTGTGGGTTTTAAAGATGCTACAATGTCTCGTCTCTCTCCCCCGCCCCCCCTTTAACTTTGCTAACATACTGAAATGACTACCTGTTTGCAAATTATTAGGGAGCCTGTGGTCTTCAGACGTTGTGGACTGCAATTCCCATTGGCCCCAGCCACCATGGCCGGTAGTCCGGGGTTGAGACTTACACTCCCAACAGCATCTATATAGGACCGCCAGTTCCAGTCAATATCTTTCAAGCCGTTATTTCCAGAAAGTATATGTAACAGTACTGTATGTACATACCTGTGTTGTTGATTTGGAAACCTGCCAGCACAGGGTGTTAAAACCAAGCCAGATCATCCAAGCCATTGTGAAATTAACAATTCACCTTTTGGCTGTACAAGTCAAATCCAACCCTAAACTACAACTGTGATGAATGTTTGTTTTCCTCCGTAAACATAGAGAGCAGCATCCAGTTTTTTTCATTGAGCTTGGAATGTTTATATCTCAACTCGTAATAATTATGAGTGTGTAGCTACATTGGCTGTCTGGTTAGGTTATGTATGGTCCACAAAAGTGTTTGAAAAGTGTTTGAAGGCAAGAAGAATGCAGACATGCACAGATTCCTTGTGGTGACAAGAGTAAAAGTGAATGAGTGACATGTCTGAGTTAGAACCCAACTCTCTTCAGTTTTGATTCTAGTTTGACATTCTAACTGCTAATTCAGCTATTTTAGTTCAGCTACTTCTTGACTGCTAGGATATTAAAAGCCTTGTTTAATTTTTATGACTAAGACAAGCATGTTAAATTGCATACACTATATATCAAGAATGCAGTATTTTTATTTCCAATTCAAAATCTTCTGGAAAATCCATACCTCTGCTTTACATTGTATATGTATCTGGAGGAAATAAATTACTTGAACTATATTGCGCAGTAGGACAAGAGTTTGTCCTTTTATATCAAATGGTGAGGACTTAGGTTGAGACAATAGTAATCATGATTAGATTTGGGAATGTCTTAGAGCCCTTTTTAGTCACTACATTGTAAAATATTACATGCTATAAAATGTTGTTGAAATCTGTTGTTTGAAAATGAGGAATTCTCATAAATGACCAAAGAAGCATGAATGAATTTGGGCAGAGTCCATGAAAACATATGTCAAATAAAATTCTTTATCTTTAAAGTGCCCCGAGACTTTCTGTTTCAAGATAGACTAATACAGTCTATGTTGGTTATGTGGCCAGATTCATAGAATTTAAATGTGTGGCTACTTCAGCTGGAAGTTTTGCCATGGCTATTTTATGGCATTATGAATCTGGCCATTTGTACACAGTTCAGATTTTGTCAGCTATTCAGACAAGCACCTTTCCTTTTGCTTTGTTACGCTGGCATAACACAAAGGTAAGTTTTGGATGCAAATTGACTTAAGAAATTACTAAGTTGTGTGACTCAGTGCACGATAATATCTGTGATAATTTCTTAATTTGGGGCAATTTGCATCCAAAGGTTATGCCATTTGTTTAGCTATAGAAGAAGATTTTGGCCCTTGTACCTTAATAATCAACTTGGTACCTTTTAATCATGCCATGCTTTATTTGTTGATGCTCATCACTGACAAAAGCCTATGCTACTTAGAAAGTTCTTGGAGCAGAAACTTTCTCTTACCTTTTAGAGAAACAATTCATGTTCTTTAACTGTAAAAAGATTCCAGATGTATAGATTAGGTAGTGATGATGGATCTTAATTCAGTTTATTTTTTAAAACCATCTTTATATATATCAAATGCCAATAATTCTACTTCTATAGGCTTCTTGGCTGTTTGCTTGCCAGATATGTGCCTTGAAGGGCTGCCCAGGAGTTTTATGACCAAAAGAAGGCATATGTGAAGTAAGAGACATTGAAATAAGAGGCATAAATACTTGGGATGTGAGAAGTCATTTTTTCCAAAGAGCTAAATAATAGCTAACACCCATGTTGGACTTCTTTAGCAAGGATTTGAGTGGCCTCTGCTTTTTTCAAAATAAGCTGGCTGCTATCAAGACGTTGGGTAAGATAGAACACAGTTGTGAAGCGGTAAAGGGAAAAAAGGACCCTGCTGGTCTTCAAATGTCTTCAGGAATGCCCCGTAATATAGGTCCATTTTCAGTGTTTGAACTGAGCCCTAAAATGTATGAAATGCTTTTGCGTACATGCAGAAGGATGTCTCACCAAAAAGAAGGGTGTGCCACCTTAAAGAGAGGTTAATTCATTGTGGACTAGGGTAAAGGAGATCCTGTTTGTGCATCTGATGAGCTAGGTTTTCAGTCTGCAAAGCATATGTTATGCACACAAAAGACTATGCTCAGAATGGCTGACTTTCAGGAAAGTGCCTAGGACTGCATCCTAGATTGTTAGTGGTATAAAACATTAGTTCCTTAAAGTATTTAATGGACTAATGTAAAACAAGCAAGTAAATGGAGAACTTTATTTATTATTATTTTATTTATTTATTTACCTCTACCCAAAGGCCTCTGGGTGGATTACAACAATTAAAATACAATGAAAAGATAAAACAATTAAAAAACAATTAAAATATAAACTCTAAAAATTGTCATCAGGACCCATAGTTGATATTATTTCAATTAAAAAAGCCTTTTAGAAAAAGGTGGTTTTGACCTGGCGCCAAAATGTCATCAGCGTCGGCGCCAGACGAATCTCATTGGGATGGTGTTCCATATTCTGGGGACAGCTGCCGAAAAGGCTCTTTGTCTACAAGCCATCCCTCTTACCTCCTTGAGGGACTGCTCTTTCAAAAGGGCCCCCTGGCTAGATCTTAACTTTATCTGTTATCTGTTTATTATCTGTTTCAAGTTGTGAACTTTATTCCAGTATTTCTCAAATTGTCCCTTGTCAGAGTATCTGTGAAGATTCTCAGTCATCCAGGTGCGGTTATCTGGAAGTTGAATCATGGCAACTGGACTTCTTTCTTACTAGGCTGAAATGTTTTGCTGCTCATCCAAGTAGCTTCTTCAGTCTGAGGAGAGTTGGTAGGAGACCTCTGGTATGATTTCTTGTCAGAGCAATGTACCATAAGAGAAATAATAATTGCAAGTTACTCCCAGGCTCAAAACTTTGTCCTTAGATGTTGTTGCCTACTGTTTTTCTGTTTTACCTCTTTCCAGCAAGTCTGTGCCAGGAATATTCAGTTTCAGCATCAGGACTTGGATGAACTCTAATCCACAAATGCAGCAAAATTTCTCACCTTCAGCAAAGCCCACTTTATATGTTAGCATGAGTCATAGTTATGTCTGCAAAAAAGAAAAATTCCAGGTAGCTAGCTGCATTGGTTGCAAAGAAGATTCTAATATCTGTATTAGTATGATACAAAAATGTGTGGTTTTTAAAAAGATCTCTATGTCTTTTAATCAGGCAAAAATATTGCAAAAGATTCACAGGAATGTAGGGTTGACAGAAGGAAATACTGATATAGTATTGAAGTCATGGTGCCTGTGTAGTCTAATACAGTGCCTCCTCGCAAGATGAATGCCTCTCCAGACGAAAAACCCGCAAGACGAAAGCGTTTTGCGATCATGTTGGTGACTCGCAAGATGGCTTCTTCTATGGCCGTGCTTCGCAAGACGATTTTTTTCCTCAAGACCGATGCCTCGCAAGATGAAAATAATTCATTCGTCTTGCAAAGTTTCCCATAGGAATGTATTACAATCCATTTCTATGGGAAACTGCTTTTTGCAAGGCAGCGCTACTCGCAGAACGAATTACTTTTGTCTCGTGAGGCACCAGTGTAGTTGTCTTTGGAAGGAGAAGAGACGTTAAAATGAGTTTGTAGCAGAACAAGTGATAACCCAAGCAGAAAAAAGGTGTGGACTAGTCTGAGGAAAAACAATTCTAAACCAAACCTGTTTGGATATACAGAAAAGCTATCTTTATTCAGGAAATTCTGTCTGTGCTGCCAGATGTTTGAGCAAATGTTATTCTAGGTTTTTTTTTAGCAGTGGCCATCGGACTCTTCCATTTTCTGTCTTCCTAGCTACATTTAATTCATTGTGAATTTGATCCATAGACTGAAATAATGCGAAATGAGTTTGAACGCCTAGCAGCACGACAGCCCATAGAACTGCTGAGCATGAAAAGGTAAGCCTGGGAGCCGTTCAAGGTAAAGAGTATGCCACTGCTGTTAAAGCAAAATCCAGAAAGATCCAAGGCTTGGTTGTAAAGAGCACAGGACAAACTGCCTTGACCATTAAAAAGAAATAAAAAATCTTAATGCATTCATTATTACAACAGAGAGAGAGAGAAAAAGTCACAACATTGTGAGCAAGATTTCAGGGTCATAAGACCCTTTCATTGGGGCAAAATGTTGCAAAATGTGGAGTAGGGAAACCAATGGTAAAAAATGAATAACTGAAAGCAGTAACTATCTAGATCTTAAAATTCTTATTTCCTGATATTAAGAAGTGGAGAAGGGAAGGAAAAATAGTTATTCAAATATGGTTGTCTCAGATGACGAAGTAACCACTACGTTGGCTGAGAACAAAAACATGAAGAATAGTTTGATCTTTGTTGCTATAAAATATGGCTGTAAGGTCCAGTACAAATTTAAGCCTATCTCCTGCATAATCCACTTATGGCATGATAAAGGTATTACCCCAATATGTAGTTCAAATTTCAGGTTTAGGTAGCCTAAAATGTGGCATTCCAGTTCTTGCCTCATGATGGCAGTATACTCTACTGAAACAATAATAGGTTGTGGCTCTTTGTTTCTCAAAGATACTTGCAGCTCTGTTTCAGGTAGGTAACTTGGAATTTTTGCAAAACAGATCAATGTACTTCATGCTAATAATTCTGGACACAGTGGATGATACAGTTGGTGTTACATGTGGTAATTTAAATCAATATTTCTTCTGTATCATATCACTCTGAAAGATTCTGAGTCCAACCATAATAGAGGCTTCATTTTTCGCAATAGAGACTTTTATATGTTCATTCTGGGAATCTTATACTTATTTATGATAAGCTTTAAGGGTGTACAAAGTACAATGGAGTATGGAGGGACTTAGGTTGTTTCCCAATGACTGAAATCAAGTAGTGTCACAACTAGAATAGACTTGTTTAATTGATGGAACTTACAGAGGAGTTGACTCACCCCCATCATCATTGATTAAATATGCCTCCTCTAGTTGTAGGAAATGAATTTCAGCCATTATCTATTAAGTGTCCTTTATATAAATATATTACAGAGCTTTTTAGCTAGGATTTGTTGAACTCTGTGAAGCAGACTTCCATGACTTAGATTTGCAGGGTGCTGGTGTGTAATGGTGCATTAATTGCTAACAAAGTGGCAAAGCTAGCCTTTGGAGCAAAGAAAAAACATGTGAAGCATCGGGGATAGTGTGGGTTGCAGGCTTGTAGAATTCAGTATTTATTGTTGATCAAGGTATATTGTAATGGCCCATAGCTTAAAGCAATAAGGATGTTCCTATCTTTCTGTAATTCTGTTAATAATATAACATTTATGCTGCTGAGTATAATATTTTGCTATTGTATGAACTGTAAAATACAATGATGATAAGTACAAAATTGCAGTACTGTACTATTATTTGAAATACATTTTATTGCTGTGAAAGAAACACAGAATAATCATTATGTATTATTAAAACTCTGCGCCCTGTTTAGATTACTTCTGTGTGCCATCTCAAATCCAGGTTGTATACAGTGGGGTCTTGATTTGAGAACTTAATCCGTATTGGAAGGCGGTTCTCATGTCAAAAAGTTCTCAAGTCAAATCTGCATTTCCCATAGGAATGCATTGAAAACCATTTAATCCGTATCTGCTCTTTTCTGTCCATAGAAACTAATGGGAAGCTGCTATTCGACCACTAGAGGGGGATATTTTGTTTCTTTTTTTCTTAGGTCAAGAAAGGTTCAGGGAAGGCAGGGAAAATACAGTCCAGGCAGTACAGTACCAGGCAGTCCGAAGACTGTCTCCCAATCCACTCTCTAAACGCTGGGAGGAGTGAGGAAGCAGACAGGCACCCTTTTCACTGGCCAACAGTTAACTGAAAGTTCAAATTTTGCACTTTCCCTACCTCCCACGTGGGTTTTTTTCAGTTCTTAACTCAAATCTAAGTACTTAAGTCAAGTCAATATTTTCCTGTGAGAGCGGTTCTTAAGTCAAAATGTTCTTAACTCAAGCCGTTCTTAAGTCAAGACCCCACTGTATTGCTGGCTGAAATCCTGATACTTATTCTATTAAGTTGCACTAAAGTAGGCCCATCTGAATCAATGGAATATATTGAAGAATTTCACTAGAGTGGGCCCACTGGGAATATATGAAGGATCTGAATCACCAAATCCACACTGATTTAATGGGCCTATGTGAAGGAGGAATAGGTCTTGAGGAAGGCGTTGAGAGTGCACCGTCTCCTCAGATTCAGGAATCAGTGAAAGAAGAGACAGAAGGGATGATGGCTAAAGGAAATGAGGAGAAGGGGGGGAAGATAGAAGTTTTAGTGGAAGAGGGAAAAGGCAAAGAAGGGGAGGAGCTAACTTGAGGGAAGAAGATAAAAAGGAAGAGGAAGGGGTGAGAGTATTCAGAGTACCGGGACAGGAGATGAAAGGAGGAGGAGAAATGGAATATAGAAAAGCGTGCAAATCGTTGCAAGATTTTCCCGACCTGAAGGTTGGAGGATTACTGCCCGATCTGACTCAAAAGAAGGAAGGAGTGACTGTTGCAGAGACTTCAGAATGGACTGTGGTGGTCTTCCCAAGGGGACAGGGTCACAAGAGGAGGGTGATCCGACCGGATACCTCCTTCAGTCAACACCACTCGAGGGAGATTGGGCACGCCACCCGTGTTGTGGCATAATCTGTGCCGTGAGTGCGTTGTTGCGGAAACAAACGGACAGAGAGCGGTTTGGTCCAGCTCCGCAGTAAAATTGGACAATTCTATCTTACAAACATTGCCTGATTCTTATGGACATTTACCAGAACTAAGCTGTTTTGAACCTATAGAAGTCGTTGTTGATTCTCCAGAAATTAAGTCTAATAAATCTGTTAATGTTAAAAATGACTCTTCATGGTTATTTCCCGCCCACAAAAAAAGAGTTGCCTCCACCTTCTCTAACGAACCCAATCACAGCCTATTTTAGTGCAGTTTAGTAATCTAAGCAACAGAATTTCAACATAGAGAATCAGTATTTTAAACTGTCGCCAAAATCCTGTTTCTTGGCATAGTAAATCACACTAGAGTAGAGCCATTGAATCGGTGGGGAATCGGTGAGTCCAGTCTTCCATTGATTTAAATAGACCTACCCTACTTCAGCATAGTATACTGCAGTTAGGGTAGGGCCATTGGAATCAGTGGAACCTATGGAGGAGTTGACTCACCAATTCCCCATTAATTCAGTGGGCCTAGTGTAGTGCTATTTATTAAGCTAAGCAACAGGATTTGAGCTTATATTTAGCACTTTAAAATGATCTGACATCCACGTATTTCACAAATTATTATTCAGGGATATGATAAATGTAGCAGACTTGTCAAGATTGTAAGTGCCTACCAGTGGGGGAATTATTTTTTATTTTTCTTCTGTTGCAGGTATGAGCTGCCTGCTCCCTCCTCTGGGCAGAAGAATGATATCACAGCATGGCAAGAATGCGTTAATAACTCAATGGCTCAGCTGGAGCACCAGGCAGTTCGAATTGAGAATTTGGAATTGATGTCTCAGTATGGCTGCAATGCCTGGAAAGTATATAATGAGTATGTTTTTATTGTCTCTTACCATTTCTTTAAAAGGGTAAAGTTTTATAGTCCATTTCCAGTTCTGATATTTTGGTTTTTTAAAAAAAATACATATCCTTAGCAGTAGAAAAATGCTACTCAGACTGCTGAATAAAATTAAAATAAATGTTCAAACCCTTGCAGAGGGAGTATTTTCTACAGTGGCATGAGAAAAAGTGTTTTTTGCTTTTAAGATATGAACATAATACTGTACTACCTTGTGAGGCTGTGTATCTGCATATAAGAGAGAAGGAAGGAAAGTCAAGCTATCACAGTGAAAGTTTTATTTTAAAAGTTAAAAATCTGTTTTATTCACAATTTCAGTGGGTTTAAACAGAAAGGATATAAATAAATCTTGAGGCAGATCTGGGTTTTAATCAGGACTGCATGAGATATGGAACATGATTGGAATATTATGAAGAGGAGTGGTTGGAGATGTTCACAATTTCCATATAAAGAGATTTCCATTAGTGCTACAAATATTGCTTTGAAAGTACTCCAAAAACGGTACAGTGGTGCCTCGCAAGACGATGTTAATCCGTTCCGCGGAAATCGCTGTCTTGCAAAAACATCGTCTTGCGAAACCAAATTTCCCATAGGAATGCACTGAAAATTAATTAATGTGATCCTAGGGGGATTTTTTTTAAAAGGAACTTAAGGGGTAGGGAGCTGGGGAAGCACCATGAGAGGACTGGCGGGAGGGGTTGCCCCTCGCTGCGATTGTCAGCTTTGGAGGTCCACAGGCAGTCCTCTGATGGTGCAGGAAAAGCCTCCAAAATGCTCTAAAGTGGGTGCGGGTGGTTTCGGAGCACCCCCGCCAGAGTTCTGATGTCTTCTCCAGCACCATCAAAGCCCTAGTGGGGGTGCCCCAAAACTGCCCACACTGGCTTTGGGGGTCCCCCGGGGCTTACCTTGCACCATGGGAGGACTCGCCCTGGTCCCTCTGCGTAGCGATCGGCATTTGCAGAGGCTTGTCCGAAACCCTTTTAAAGTTCCCTCCTCTTTCTCCAGCCTTCGGCAAGCCTCAGAAGGGAAAAGGGGGGGGAAAGAGCATTTTTCCCTTCCGAGGCTTGCTGAAGGCTGGAGGAACATGAACATAGTTAATGCAGGAGAAACATCAATTAGAAATTGAAACTCAGTTGCCATGACTAGATAACTATTTATGTGGCACTTAGTTCTATAAATGTTGTTCATTTTAAAGTCAGCTATGAATTCTACTATCATTTATACTCTCCAGGGTCCTTGTAATGTGTTTTATCAAAAAGAAATGTATTCTGTTCATAGCTGCAAGATGATTTTAACAGCACTGCTCTGTTTCTGGTACAGTATGTCTCTGTCTACCTGGGTTAATACCTGGATTAACTTGAAAAATACAGTCCTAGTGTTAGAGTAAAAAAATTGAACTCTCTAAATGATCTATAATCCCCTGCCATTGCATGAAATCTACAGCTAAAGCATCCCTGAAAGACGACTGTCCAATCTTTGTTTTAAAAAATCCAATGAAGTAGAGTCTAGCACCTTCTGAGATAGTTTTTTCCATTGTTGAGCAGCTCTTCCAGGAAAAGCTCTTCATGTTTAGTTTAAATTGGAATCCATTAGTTTGAGTCCAGTCTTGTGGAGCAGCCAAACATAAGCTTGGTTCATGTTCCACAAGACAGTTCTTCAGTTATGTGAACAGGGCTATCATACTGACTTTCAGTCTTCCCCAGTTTCAACTTTCTTGACTCACCTTTGTAGGGTGTGATTATCGGACCCTGTGAATAGATTTTCATTCTGTTCATACATCTCACAATTCAACGATGCATTGTGTCATGCAGACACTTCTGTTCTGGTGGAAGGCAAACAGAGTTAAACTGAAGGCCCAACCTAACTTGAGTAGCAAAGTCACATTTGAGAGAAAATGTTGTTCAGTTCCTTCCTTTTTTCTTCATTACATCTGAAAAACATTTTTGAACTACCGTTTCTTTTCCTTTGTAGGCATTTAGTTCATATGATTGAACAGGCACAAAAAGAGCTGCAGAGTTTGAGGTAAGTCAGCCTTTACTCTTTGAATTGAAACGATTTCTAATATATGGGGATTTTCAACCTTTACAGAATGCAGAACTTGTGTTCTTGTATAGCATATGCATCTTAAAGTACTTCATTTGTGTGTGTGGAATTGTGCAAAAAGTTAGTGTTTCATCGTGAACTATTTACTTGGGAGCTTTGTCTTCTGATGGTGGCAGTTTTGAGTTTATGGCAACATGTGCTTAATGTTTTTGTAAATGTTTGTAGTTGTTTTGAGGCTCTCGTTAGTTCCTGTCATACTATACTTAAGATGGGTAAAAATGGGTGTGTTTTTTAAAAAAGAAAACCAGATTTTTAAAAACTAGAGGCCATCAGTTTCACCTCCCTCCTTCTCTCTAGTCACACCATTAACCAGTGCAGCAACAGTGGAAGTTACAGCCTACTTTTAAAACAAGTTATGGAGGGAATAAATGTTTTGTTTTAAAAGAAAATATCACTTCCGGAAGCCCACTTTTGCTGTATTTTAAAGGAAAAGAAAGTGTGTGCTTCCTGCATGGCTTGTTTTCAGGGTGAACATGCAGCAAGGTTTGCTACTGCTGCATTGCAGAATTAATTGTCAAAGCTGGAAAGTAGATGGAAGACCTTCATGTATCATGCTATTTTTACGCTGACTACTTAGGTTTTAGACATTTAGAAATGCTAAGTTTCTCAAACAATAACTGATCCAATGTTAATAATTATAAACATTTTATATAGTTAATCTCTAAAGGGAATCAGTGCTTTTACCAAATGCAGTGAGTTAAAGTAGACTTTTCTTGCTAAATGGAGAATAAGATCAATCATTGCTTAAGTATGATTGTTTGCTTGAGTGGGAAAAATGTACTGGGATTGGAAGCACATTCCTTCTCCCATGGCCTTCTATCCACCAGGTGAGATTGGGGCACTCTGGCCAGAAACAAGGCTTTACTCCTCTGTTGTCCTCCTGCATGGTCAGGGAAGTGAATGTTACCTGGTGCTTTTAGGAGATCTGGAGATACTTGCTTAGAGTGCATCATATTGGTTCTCAATGAACTTCCCTGTGCAATAAGAAAGAGGTGATGATCCATGCTTTGCCAGTGCTTCTGAGACTTGACACAGAGTTGTGAGGACCCCCCTATTCCTTTGTGTTACCTTGCTGGAGGAAGGAGAAAGTGGAGAGATTTGTTGCGTTTGGTCCCCTTCAGAACAGTAGCCCAGACTGAGGCTGCAACTACACTGGCAATCTGAAGTGATTTGGCTTTGCTGTAATTTGATTTGTACCCTGTATTATCTTTGAAATCAGTTAGTGCTCAAACCCAGGCTGCAGATTCATTCAGGAACTCATTGTTCACATTTCTGTCCACAGACCCTACTTCTTCCTTCCTTTGTTCTCACTTATGCTGCTCCTTTTATGGTTCACGGTCAATTCACTTGGTTTTGTACAATGTTCAGGAAAAGGTGGCAGCATTCTAAACTTCTTAATATGTACAAAAATACCACACACCATAGTAATGTCTTATTTCATCTGAATTGTTTCTGTTTTGTTCATAATTTTATTTTCCCCCACCAAGTCTGGAGGTGATCTGACACTAAATTAATATATCTGTATTAGTGATAAGGTGATCTAGTGCTAATGTCATGTGTAAAAAAATGTGGAGGACGATCAGAGAAGAAGATGAGGGCAGGTGTTTCATGCTCCAAATGCCTAGGTCACTGAAACACCATCCATAGTGCCCCCCCCATTTTTACAAGAACTAATCAACTGATTACATGGGGAAAGGTCTGTTTGAATCATTCTGGCTTGTAAAAAGTAAAAGACCCCAGCAACAGAGGGAAAAAGCTGCTTTGAAGCAGCCTTTGTGTTGTATGATCAGCAACCCCCCCCCAAAAAAAACTTAAATCAACCTGTTCTATAACCGCAACAAACAGGACTCAAGTCAGGTCCTTAAAATGCTGGATGTATAAGCTGAAGTCCTGTTGCTTAGCATAATAAAGTACACTAGAGTAGGCCCACTGACTCAGTAGAGATTTGGTGAGCCAATTCTTTTGCAACTTCAATTGATTTAAATGAGCCTACTGTTGTTTAGTCGTTAAGTCGTGTCAAATTCATGTTGGTAGCTTCGATGACACTGTCCAGCCATCTTGTCCTCTGTCGTCCCCTTCTCCTCTTGCCTTCACACTTTCCCAACAACAGGGTCTTTTCCAAGGAGTCTTCTCATGAGATGGCCAAAGTATTGGAGCCTCAGCTTTAGGATCTGTCCTTGCAGTGAGCACTCAGGGTTGATTTCCTTCAAGATGGATACATTTGATCTCCCTGCAGTCCAGGGGACTCTCAAGAGTCTCCTCCAGCACCACAATTCAAAAGCACCAATTCTTTGGCGGTCTGCCTTCTTTATGGTCCAGCTCTCACTTCCATACATCGCTACTGGAAAAACCATAGCTTTGACTATGCGGACCTTTGTTGGCAAGATGATGTCTATGCTTTTTAAGATGGTGTCTAGGTTTCTCAGCGCTTTCCTCCCAAGAAACAGGCATCTTTTAATTTTGTGGCTGCTGTCACCATCTGCAATGATCATGGAGCCCAAGAAATTAAAATCTGTCACTGCCTCCATATCTTCTCTTTCTATTTGCCAGGAGGTGATGGGACCAGTGGACATGATCTTAGTTTTTGATGTTGAGCTTCAGACCATTTTTTGCACTCTCCTCTTTCACCCTCATTAAGAGGTTCTTTAATGCCTCCTCACTTTCTGCCATCAGAGTAGTATCATCTGCATATCAGAGGTTGTTGATATTTCTTCTGGCGATCTTAATTCCGGCTTGGGATTCCTCCAGTCCGGCCTTTCGCATGATGTATTCTACATATAAGTTAAATAAGCCGGGGGACAATATACAGCTCTCTTTCCCTCTCTCTCTCTCTCTCACACACACACACACACACACATTATGTCCTTGTCTGCATTGACTCAACTTGCAATTATCCTCTCTACCCATTGATGTATTCATTGTCCTGAATATATTGCATTAAAAATAATAATGATCTTAATGGTTAGAACATGATAGCTGAAGCAATTATTATGTGATTGTTATAAAGTAATTAGTGCAATACATCATTGAAGGGCAGATAGAGGATAAATAGAATAGATAGAAAATGGGTTTCTTGAATTAGCAGTATCAATATCTCCCCTGGGTCTGGTAACAAGGCAGTTAAAAACTTGCCATCTAATGTTTATTGGAACAGAGATCATGAAACACTTCCGCTTTAAAAGCAAAGTAGAACACCTTATCAGAAATATAAACGGTAGGACAATGCAACTTTGTAAATATTCAAAAATAGGATAAACTAA